ATCAAATCAGAAACTGGGGCAGCTTCTCTAAATCTGGGATGTCCCTGGAAAACAGAGACACTTGGAGGGTCTGTAGTGGCCTGGGAGAGGGCATCTCTGTGGCAGCCCCCAAGTTGTGGGTCTCCCTCCAGAGGTGAACCTTGGTAATATTCTGCCCTGTGTGAGGCCATTTGACGCCTTTCCACCGGCTTTGGGAAGGAGGCTATGGGCTCTAACAGGGTCCTAGAGCCCCCCATACCTCCTTCCAAAAGCCCAAAGTGCTTGCACAGGGTGCTGCTGAAATTTTAGAGCCCCAAATCTGCCGCTGAATACAAGTGCTCTCCTGGGCTGCCAATCCCAGAATGCCTCACTCGGTTGCATGTCACACTTGGTTTCCAGTGCACTGCTGCCATATTAGCAACAGTAAAACGCTGAAAGTAAGTCACGTTGGAAAAGGAGCAGAGCAGCGGTTTAGCTTGCATGGCGCCATGACTTGCCGACTGACCCTCCCAAGAGGGAAAAAGCATTTCTTTCAATTCACTTTCTCCATATTATGCAGAAGTTTATTGTCAAGTTGGCCATCCGTGCGCCAGCTTGCAGCTCTTCTAAAGAGTTCCATTTGTAGTAGAGCTTCATATAAAGTTGTTTTTCTCTTTGATGACAGTTTGATTCTCTGGATGAGAAGGCTGAAGGGTCTCTCTTTTCCATGGTAACAGCTTCCAGAATTCTTGAAAGAAGGTCTATTGGAAATGTTGAGAAGTCAAAATTCTGGGGAAGAGGGGGAAAAGCGAGGATGAGCTACACAAGAAAGGGAAACGTAGAACGATAAAGTTGGAAAGGGACAAGGGTACAAAATGGGTTGTTTTGCATATGTCACTGCATTGTAAGTGGCTTAAAAGTCATTTTGGCATTTAGGAAGTATATAAATTAATTTGTTGTTGTTGATTAGTCGTGTCCGACTCTTCGTGACCCCATGGACCAGAGCACGCCAGGCACTCCTGTCTTCCACTGCCTCCCGCAGTTTGGTCAGACTCATGCTGGTAGCTTCGAGAACACTGTCCAACCATCTCATCCTCTGTTGTCCCCTTCTCCTTGTGCCCTCCATCTTTCCCAACATCAGGGAACATTTGAAGGACAGCTGTGTTTCAGTTCTCATGTTGTTCCAGAAAGCGCAGCATTGATAGATTTGGCTTTGCACGTGAACTGAGTCTAATTTTCCCCGACCCCATCTCTTTTGGTACCTATGTGACTACCCTTTGGGGACATAAGTGCTGTCATGTCACCCCTCAGTTTTATTCAGGCCAAACATACGCAGTTCATCCAACCTTGTAGAACCATAGAATTGGGAGGGACCCTGAGCTTCATCTCTACCACAACCCCCTGCAATGCAAAAAGCTCAGCTTGACAACCATATGTCAGGAGTGCTCTGATGGTGTTTCCTGCTTGGCAGGGGGTTGGACTTGATGGCCCTTGTGGTCTCTTCCAACTCTATGATTCTATGATTCTATGATTCCCCCCATAAGGACTTGTTTTCTATTCTTCTGACCATGTTTGCTGTCCTACCTTGAACCCGTTCCAGTTTGCCTGCTTAAAGTGAAGGCACCAGCTGAACCTCCCTGGGGACAACATTCCAAAAATGGGGATAACATTCTGCATTTAATTTTTTTTTTTTAAATAAGACTATAGACAAACTGGATGGGGTTTTTTTTGGTCAAAGGACAACAAACCATTAATGCAGCATTGGCCAATAAGGTGGTGAGTTTGAAAATAGATCTTGAGAGAGCAGTATGAAGATCTATCCAGTGCTGCAAATGGATACTAATAAGCTTCACACTTTGAAAGAAAAGAAAGAAAGAAGGAAAGAAAGAAAGAAAGAACACTTCAGCTACCAAAAGGAGGAGAAAATGGTCCATTTTTTTCTCTCCATTTTCCTCCTCTGCCGAAGTAAATCATTCTGGTCCTTTTAGCAATCCTTAAAAAAACTAATTAGTAATATTCTGATTCATAAATAGGTTGCAGCTTAGTTCACAGAGTGGCAGTTAAAAGAGAGGATGAGACACAGAAGGAGCGTGAGCCACCAAGTGCTCCACGAAAACACTTAATGTCTTGAGGACTGGCACCTTATTTAACAACCTGAATAAAAAGCTTCTGATAACTTAAAGGTATTTGAGCACTGCATAAAAAAATAAAAAAAAAGATGAGGAGGAGGCAAAAGCAGACACTCTTCACAAGAAATGTAACCAGCCTACATGGAGATGACCTTATCCATATTATTTTTTAAAAACTAAAAACGATGAGAAAAGTAAAAGAGATGAATTAAAAGGTGAAAAAAAGGAATGGTTTTCTGAGCCTTTAATTAAAAAGCAATATTGAAGCAGACAGCTATTTCTCCCTAAAGCTGCTCTTCACGGCACCCTTATCACTTCCACTCCTTGATGAAAGCAAGTGATACTCTCTTCACAATTGTTGCAGGGTTGTTTTTTGTTTTTTTTAGGTTTTTTGGGTAGCTTGTTGAATTTAGAGAAGCTGCTGAGGAGATGATAGGATTTTTGCATGAGCGCCTTTGATGTTTCTGGTGAAGAGATTCGAAGAAGTCATTTAAACCGAGCACTAAGGAAACTGTAAGAATTCTTGAGCAACTTTTAAGGATCAATGGCTCCCATTGTCATGTTGCAACCAGGACTGAATATTGGCAGCTGGGGGAGAAAGCTACAAAAACAAGGGACTGTGATGACTTTTACTAGACAAGAGGCCTGAACGTAAGGGCACAAGAAGATCCCTGAAAGATCAGGTCAAAGGGCAATAGCCCTCTCCTGCTTTTGTTTCCCAGTGACTGATGGGTGATATATCGCAATAGGATATAGCTATCATTATGACCGGGTGGGACGCGAGTGGCGCTGTGGGTTAAACCACTGAGCCTAGGACTTGCCGATCAGAAGGTCGGCAGTTTGAATCCCCGCAACGGGGTGAGCTCCCGTTGGTCGGTCCCAGCTCCTGCCAACCTAGCAGTTTGAAAGGACATCAAAGTGCAAGTAGATAAATAGGTACCGCTCCGGCGGGAAGGTAAACGGCGTTTCTGTGCGCTGCTCTGGTTCGCCAGAAGTGGCTTAGTCATGCTGGCCACATGACCCGGAAGCTGTACGCCAGCTCCCTTGGCCAATAAATCGAGATGAGTGCCGCAACCCCAGAGTTAGTCACGACTGAACCTAATGGTCAGGGGTCCCTGTATGACCAGTAGCTGTTGAGAGTCTCTAGTTAAGCTGTACAGCTTCTAACTGGTGGAGACTGGTAACACACATTGCTATTGTGAGAAACCAGAGATGTACCACTTGTGAAAAAGCCTAAACAACTTGTTTTGCCACCCTCTGGAAGAAGAAGAAGAATCCAGGTGGAAAAGTCAAAATTAGAAACAGAACTGCTAGAACCCAAAACTAAGAATCTGTCAAGAATGTATAACTTGCTGTTGAAATGGAATACTCAGGATGAAACGGTGAAATCTGCTATGATTAAATGGGCACAAGATGTTGGACATAAGATTATGTTTGCTGACTGGGAACAGTTATGGACCACAGGTATGAAGTTTACGGCATGTAATGCCTTAAGAGAGAATATTATGAAAATGATATACAGGTGGTACATGACCCCAGTCAAGCTTGCAAAAATCTATCATTTGCCCGATAATAAATGTTGGAAATGTAAAGAAACTGAAGGTACATTCTTTCACCTTTGGTGGACGTGCCCAAGGATTAAGGCTTTCTGGGAGATGATTTATAATGAAATAAAAAAGGTATTTAAATATACCTTTCTGAAGAAACCAGAGGCCTTTCTTCTGGGCATTGCCGGCCAATTGGTGCCAAAGAAGGACAGAACTTTTTTTATGTATGCTACAACAGCAGCAAGAATACTCATTGCAAAGTATTGGAAGACACAAGATCTACCCACTCTGGAAGAATGGCAGATGAAGGTGATTGACTACATGGAATTGGCAGAAATGACTGGCAGAATCCGAGACCAGGGAGAAGAGTCGGTGAAAGAAGATTGGAAGAAATTTAAAGATTATTTACAGAAATATTGTAAAATTAAGGAATCTTAGAAGGATGTTGGATAGAAACTAAGTGGTTTCCAGCTGTAATGCTTTAAGAGATACGAAAAAGGGTTACAAATGGGTAAAAGCTTAATGGTAAGGATTTGCTGAACTAACAAACTGAACTGGAATACAAAAAAGGGAGGTATGAGGAGGTCCGGGGAAATAAGTGTAAGGAAAATATGCTATGGAAAGTTAACGTGTTTTTAACTGTTTTTATCTTGTATGTTTTTCTTTATTTTTCTTTTTTTTGTTATATCTTAAAAACTTTATTCTTTTTTCTGTATTTTGTATTTTCTTGTATTTTTATTTTTTGTTTTTGTATTCTTTGAAACTTTAATAAATATCATTTTAAAGAAGAAGAAGAAGAAGAAGAAGAAGACAAGAAGAGTTTGGATTTTATATCCCGCTTTATAACTACCCTAAGGAGTCTCAAAGTGGTTAACAATCTCCTACACCAGTGTGGTTAAGAGCAGTGGACTCGTAATCTGGTGAACCGGGTTCGTGTCCCCGCTCCTCCACATGCAGTTTGAAATATACTCAGAGTCGCAAAGTGATTTCATGCTCTTTATTCAGCTCATAGTGGTGAGGAGGAATGAATGAAAGTCCCCTCAAAGTATCTGCTTTATATACATTATTTACACAATGGGCTGCACATGATTGGCTAATTCTGGAATTCTACTGTAAGCCAATCAGGTTGTGGATTCACGTATATCTGGAGCATGACTGGGTGGTTTCTGCCAACCAATCATACTGCTGCATTGTTCTAGGACCAATCAGACTGCTGCATTCTGAATCCTATTGTTCTAGGACCAATTAGACTGCTGCAATTTGGATCCTATTGTTCTAGGACCAATCAGACTGCTGCAGTTTGGATCCTATTCAACTCAATACATAACACAGCTGCTGGATGACCTTGGGCTAGTCACACTTCTCTGAAGTCTCTCAGCCTCACTCACCTCACAGAGTGTTTGTTGTGGGGGAGGAAGGGAAAGGAGATTGTTGGCCGCTTTGAGACTCCTTCGGGTAGTGATAAAGCGGGATATCAAATCCAAACTCTTCTTCTTCTTATTATTTCCCTTCTTCCCCCGCAACAAACACTCTGTGAGGTGAGTGAGGCTGAGAGACTTCAGAGAAGTGTGACTAGCCCAAGGTCACCCAGCAGCTGCATGTGGAGGAGCAGGGAATCGAACCCGGTTCACCTGATTATGGGTCCACTGCTCTTAACCACTACACCACACTGGCTCTCTGGACCTCTTGTGGAGGAGGCACACAAAGAAGGGCTTCAGATGGTGATCTCAGAGTCCAGGAAGGTTAAGAGAGAGAGAGAGAGAGAGAGAGAGAGAGAGAGAGAGAGAGAGAGAGAGACGGCCCTTGGGGCATTGCGGTCCTGAGCCATTTAAGGTTTTATGGGCCAAAACCAGCACTTTGAATTGGGCCTGGAAGCTCATTGGCAGCCAGTGCAGTCAGGCCTGGATCAGTGTCATATACTGAAACCATCTTCCCTAGTGAGCAACCTGGCTGCCAAATTCTGCACCAGCTGAAGTTTCTGAACCATGTTTGGAGGCAGAGGTAAATCTTCTTTGCAAGAGTGTGTGCATTTCTCACAAGATGGCAAAGGCTGGCCCAAGAACTTTCATTAAAGCTCAGCATCTTTCGCAGGTTGAACCTATGCAGTTAAATCAAGCACCACTGAGTTCAACGAAACTTAATCCTAAGCAACTGTTTCCTTTGAGTGGCATGTGCAATGAGCCATAAAGTATTAAATCCTGGCACATCTAAGGGTTTCCCCACAAACGCTCCATCGTACAGAACTCTTTTCACACAGGTTGCACCCTAAAAGAGAGGGAGGTCTCTTCTGACTCCCAATTCAGCTGAACTCAAGATATTTCAGTCTCATATTAGACAGCTATTATAAGACTACTGTCATATTGTTGCCACTGGCGATTCATTCACACCTATTATCTTTCTATTGGCTGAAAATATGTTCTCCATAGAGGGTCCTCATTTAGGCTTCATTTCAAAGAGCCTGACGGGCTTGAAACAAAAAAGGATAATTCACCAAGACCAAAAGAAGACAAAACCACCCTTCATATAATTTACCAAAATATTCTCTCCCTCTCTCTCTCTCTCCCCCCTCTCCCCTCTCTCTTAGGGTTGTCATATTTCAAAAAAGCAAAAACCAGGACACCCTAAAAGACCCAAAATTGTTGAGGTGTTTTTTTTTAAAGGAAAACCCCAAAGTTACTTTTTTTTCACAAAAATGCCAAATTTCACAAAAATGATACACAATTGACTTGCCTAAAACCCAGGACAAAGCATCGCCTTTCAGAAATTCCCCCTGATATCAATTCCGCCTTTAAAATCCCGGTAATGTCTGGGAAAATCCAGACAGCCCGGACAGCCCTAATCTATTTTTCATCTATCTATCATCTGTCTTTCTTTTAAACAAAGAAATCTTAGCATTTTAACAATGCCCAGCTTTTTGACTGTCCAAAGTAATATCTATCTATCTATCTATCTATCTATCTATCTATCTATCTATCTATCTATCTATCTATCTCACGACATCATCTCAGCATCATTGAATGATGGTAATGTATTCCACTATACAAAGGTCAGAGTCACAACCATTGTTCTCCCCAGTTTTGCAGCTGCCCTACCCTGTACATGCCACACACACACACACACCCCGCCCGGAGGGTTGCCCATAACAGAAAGTGTCTATCAGGCCATGCATGGCATCTCCTAGGGGCTGAGGCAGTTTCGGCCCCCCAATGTATTTTTTTGAGAGGACTGGGCCCCCTCAATGTGCAGAGGGTGATCAGTTCCACCCACCGGCTCCTTGTGATGTTGCACGTGTGACATCAGAACATCAATCAACTTGAGAAGATAGTGCCTCTGTCTTAGGCTGAAAAAGACACCCAGCAGGGGTGGATTCAGAGCTGTGCAAGTTTTAAGAAGGAGGAACGAGGATCTGGCAGGGCCCTAGAGTCCTCCTGCCTCCTTCCCAAAGTCTAGTTAGTGCTTTCCCAACTTTGGGACTCTGCCAGAGCCTTGTACCTCCTTCCCAAAGCCCTGCGCCTCTCTTACCTGGTTCTGGGAAGGCAGAGTGAGGGCTGCTGATTGTGGGTGTCAAATTTTGACCTTGCACAGGGTGCCATATTGCCCAAGTCCACCTCTACTCCCAGCCCTGATTTATGTAGTTTGTTGGCCACCTTCAGGGCTCATTTTTAGGGTGCCAAGAACTGGAGTAACCCCACCAATAAATGATGATGATGATGATGATGTTCCTTCTGAAATCCTTCTGTTCTGTAACAGAGATGGCCATCATCAACTTTGGCCAGCATAGTGGGACTTTTGATTCTGAACATCTGGAGGGCACCACATTGGCTACTCCTGTAGACCCTGTGAAGAGCATTGGGCTTGCTCATGAGTTAGCTTTTTAGTGACATTACAAAAAAACCCACAATGTGGCCCCTGTTTGCACTAGCTCCTTCCCAACATGGAGCTGAGAAACTGTCTATAAAAACACCCCATGTTGGAAGGGTAGCGGACGTCAAGGAAATCTGTGAAATGGTTTTGAAGATGATTCTTCTGGCATTAATAAGAGAAAAATAACAAGCCATTGTCCTTTCCTATAACTGGACTCTGCCTTATGGAGTGATAAATATGGCAGAAAATGAGACTGTCTTGATTACTCTTCAAGCATAAAATAAGGGCTCTTACTAGCAAATCCAGAGGTTTCCTAAGAAATTGGTTAGCCTTTGTGATCCTTCCATTTCTGATGTTATTGGGTAGTTTAGGGCTGCTTAAGCCTAATCATTTTTTTGACAAGGTAAAAAACCACTATTACTGTTGAACATTTTCTTGGCAGAAGAATCTATTTCACAAATTAGGTTCTTGATCATGTTGGCTGGTCAGCGATGTCACGCACCACCCTCTGTCAAGAGAATGTGTGGGTGCATGCAAAAAAGGAGAAATGCAATGCAAAAAAACCACACAACCCCCCCCCAACAACTCCGTTTAATTGTTTTAGTGCTATGCTTTTCTCTTAACCCCACGTCATTTTAGTTAATGCTTTGAGGTTTGAGTGAACATCTAAAGATTTTCTGCCTTCTTTCTAATATACCCCCTTTGGAGCAATTAACATTAGAGGCAAAAACTCGCACTGATATCAATGGCAGTTCCCCATCCCAATGCTAATTGTTGTGTGTGTGTTCTGAGGGGGGCTTTTAATGCCTCAGAAAGGATTATTGTAGACTTGGAAAACGTTCAGAAAAAAGGCTACCAAGATGATCAAGGGGATGGAGCCTGATGAGGAACGGTTGCAGTGTTTGGGACTTTTTAGTTTAGGAAAAGGGCGAGCAAGATGTGGTGCATAATGGAGAAAGTGGATAGAAACATGTTCTTCTCCCTCTCTCATAACACTAGAAATTGTGACACCCCATGATGCTGAATTTTGGAAGATTCAGCACAGATAAAGCAAAGGGCATGGTTAAACTATGGAACTCACTCTCACAGGTGGGAAAAAAACAAAACAAAAAAGGGTTTTGCCCACTTGTTGAACCTGGCCTGTGAGGGTTGAGGAGATTACAATCTGCCTCACCAGGCTAGAAAAGTTCCCTACCCCTATTCTACAGCTTGTTTCATGAGGGATAAACAACCTGTCTAGAATCAATTGCATGGTTTTTCCAAGCAGGCCCAGCCCTACCACTGGCAGAGTGAAATGGCAGCCTCAGGAAGCACATAGTTGCTTATTATTATTTTTACTCCTAAGTGGATGTGTTTCTTGGGATTTTCTACCTCAGATACCAAAATACATTGACCAGTTTTGAGTACTAAGCAATCTGCCTGTGGGAAGGCACCAATTGGGGAAGCCTGGGAAGTTTCCTGAAGCATCGTATAACTCAAGAGAATACTAGGCGGATCTCTCTCTCTCCTGAGAGGAATCCTGACACAGAGGGTTTTTTATTTTTATTTTTTTTGATGGAATACTTCAACTCCCTCCTTTTTTCTGACTATGATTAAATATTGAAGGGGTATGGGAAATTCAACCATTAAAGAAGCTGATGGATGTGCAAAAATAATAATCCATAATCTGACATTTTGCCAACATTTTAAATGTTGCGTCTAAAATTATGTCTCTGTGCTTGCCATATGAGGTCAGGCACTGTAAATTGACATCAGTGTGGGACCTGGAGAAATATAAATAGGCATAGACTATTCTTATTATTAACAGCTCCATCAGAGCTGGCCCAACCATGAGGCAAAGTGAGGTGTACTGCCACAGATGCTAAGCTCCCCTGGCCCCAGGACAGAGCTGTTAGGGAGTCATTCTGCAAAGAAACAATTCGAAAGTTCCTAGAAGGTTCCAGAGTTTTTCCTTCAAGTTTGGGAGTGGCACTCTGAGTTTAATTAGTGTCAGCTGGAAGTGCTAATAAAAAGAAGACCACTCGGCTTCGTTTTTGCAGATGCCGGATAGCAAACGTCTGACCGAAGAGCGCTGCCCTTCGTCATTGTTCACCACTTCCGCGAGAGAGGAAGAAAGAAAAGCTCTGCTAAACAGTTTAGAAAGAGGTTTACCCTAACCACCAGTATTAGCGCAGCGAAAGTGTGTGGACGGTAACCTCTAATAAGAGCAACAAGATCTCTCTCCTGGGCCCCCAATCTGTTTGCAGTGGAGGGTGCTATCCTGTCGCAACTCCCACTTCAGTCAGCTTCTGTACATGGCAGCCATCTTGTCTTTCACCTTAGGGCACAAAATGTCTTGGGCAGGCCCTGAGCTCCATCAATGTACATGGTGGTCAAAAAAGATTGGGAGTGAGGTCGGCCGATGCCTGAATCAACCGAAGGAGAGATGTTCCTGCCTGGGCCTCTCCTGCATTAAACTCTCTTCCCCCAAATATGCCCGCATGCGGTTGGCTGCCACGATTGGACACATCCACGCCCTTCTGTTCTAAAAAGGAGAGATGCAAAGTACTTCTTTCTGTGAGCGATTGTGGTGGTGGCTAATGTAGGTGCCTACCCCCCCATTGATAGGAATGGCTTATGGGGAGGAGGCATGCCCACAGCATTTTGTTTTTCTGTCTCTTTTTCAGCTCTTTTAGGTATGGTGGCCATTTTGTCACACCCCATGGCAGCCATTTTGTGACTGGCACCCACAACACTTTCTCAAAATGCGCCCACTGGCTCAAAAAGTTTGGGAACCCCTGATATATAGTCTCAGTGACAACTGCAACAAGTTGAGGAGAGAGGCATACATCGAAACATGGTAAACATCAGTCCGGTAGCTACAATTAGTCACAACCCTTCTGCGAATAATTACAATGTGCTTTCAGGTATGCGTTTCCTTTTCTACAGGTGGTGGAATTCACCACAGAGACACATGATGAATAAACAAGAACTTGTCTTTCCCTGTAATGTCAGAAGAGGCCCTGAGCCAAATAGTTTTTTTGGGTGTGTGATAGATGAAATCTCACAGGCCTTAAGGAAAGCAATGAAGTGGGCAAGCGTTTTTTCTCTCTTCTTCTTCTTCCGTGCAACTCATCTTCTTGACAATAACAACAAAGAAAACACTTGTTCGTCTCTCTCCAGCCCCAAATTTTCTAAAAGCAAAGCACTCCAGAGCTAAGTCATTGCAAGTGTTTGCATTGAGCAACGAACAAAGCCCGGCTCCTTCAAGAGATGTGGATGATTGGTAAACAACTTGGCCACTCCATGCGTGACTTCGCCGCTCATCTTTCCTTCTCCTTGTTCCCATCAGGGAAGTAGCATCTCCACCCTGAACTTTTATTTTCTAGTCTGAATGACATTAAACTTACTTTACTTGAAGAATTTTCTCTCCGTAACATGACTCTACTTTCTAGGAAGACCTTTCAGTCAGAAAGCACAGGAGAAGAGCTACGGGGTCCGGGGTTTTTGCAAATGTCGTCAATAGAAAATGGCCGAGTAAAATATACAGTGGTACCTCGGGATGCGAATGGGATCTGTTCAGAGCCCCGTTCACATCCAGAAGCAAAAGTAACTAGCAATGGCACGTCTGCGCACGCACACGTCGCTTTTTGCCGCTTCTGTGCATGTGCGCGATGTCATTTTGAGCGTCTGCGCATGCGCGATTGGCAAAACCTGGAAGTAACGTGCTTCGTTACTTCCAGGTTGCCGTGGAGCGCAACTCGAATGCACTCAACATGAAGCATATTCAACCCAAGGTATGACTGTATGGTCTTTCAATGTTTGCTGTGCTATTTTGCTTACTAGGCATTAGCATGGACAGGCAGACGTTCTTCTAAATGGAATTGGGGGTGATGGCAGGCACTTTTGGGCAGTGCCAGCCTTGAAATGGAGGGAGGGTGACTGTGGTCACACCATGCATGAAGAGCACTGTTATACCACTTTAACAACCTTGGCTTCCCCCAGCGAATCCTGGCAATGGTTATTTTTAAAGGGTGTTGGGACCTGTGGCTCTAACAACAGTTTTCTTCTGAGAAATTTCATCCCTGCTATTAATGCTGGATGAAATTATATTGGTTAGTTCAAACTGATAGCTGCAGGAAGCAATTGGGTAAGAGAAGAAGGCTGGAAGATGTCCACTGTTTCTTTGCAAAGGAGGAAAATAGGGAGGGACCCAGGACACAGAACCAGAACCTCTCAGCAGAGAAACAATTGTGGCAGCAGAGACACCCCCCCTTCTGATCCAAAGTAAGACACTGTTCAGTTCAGTTAGATGTTAAGCATGCATGGTATATTTGCAAGGGAAGAGGGAGGACAGAAAAGGAGAACAACTTGGCCACTCCCCCTATGACCTCTCATTGGCCACACTTCTGTGACCTCAGTGCAGCCCCACCAAGTTACCATATTTTTCGGTGTATAAGCCGATGCTTTTTTATTATAAAATAATATTTTAATTTTTGGGTCGTCTTAGGCACGGATAGTGCAGAGGGGGGGGACGGGTGATTGATTGCAGTCGCAAACATTAGATTGTCAGCGGCGATTGGGCAGGTGATTGGTGGCTGCGGCAAAGGCTGTTGTTGATTGGCTGTCGCTGTGGCAATTGATTGGCAAGTTGATTGGCTATTGCTTTCGGCAACCCCCCCCAAAAAAGCTCAACAACTCTGGGCAATCTCCTCCCATTTTCTAAATTTGTAGTCCCCCAAAATAGGGGTCATCTTATACACGGTAAATGTTGAGAACAATGGCAGCAAAGAAACAGTAAGGTGAAAGTAGGATAAAAAGAAAATGTTCCAATTTCTGATAGCTCAGTTGGTTAGAGCATGGTGCTGATTACACCAGGGTTGCAGGTTTGATCACCCTATAGGACAGCTGCATATTCCTGCATTGTAGGGGATTGGACTAGATCAGAGGTTGTCAAACTAAGGCCCGCGGGCCAGATACGGCCTACTGCGCTCATTAATTCGGCCCGCGAACCTTGCGGACCCTGCCGCCCGCTCAGTCCCCATGCTAAACAGGCGCGGCAATTGACTGCTGCGACGCAGCCAATCAAAAGCTGTGCATGCCTCTGGGCGGGCAGCGACGCTGGAAGCTCCTGCAGCCAATCAGAAGCGGCGGATGCCTCTGGGCGCTGCCCCTTCCTTCCCGCTGAGGCGGCCGAGCAGGAGGAAGCCAGCTGGAAATGTAAAGAAACTGAAGGTACATTCTTCCACCTTTGGTGGACGTGCCCAAGGATTAAGGCTTTCTGGGAGATGATTTATAATGAAATGAAAAGGGTATTTAAATATACCTTTCTGAAGAAACCAGAGGCCTTTCTCCTGGGCATGGTCGGCCAAATGGTGCTAAAGAAGGACAGAACTTTTTTTATGTATGCCACAACAGCAGCAAGAATACTTATTGCAAAGTATTGGAAGACACAAGAACTACCCACTCTGGAAGAATGGCAGATGAAGGTGATGGACTACATGGAATTGGCGGAAATGACTGGCAGAATCTGAGACCAGGGAGAAGAGTCGGTGGAAGAAGATTGGAAGAAATTTAAAGACTATTTACAGAAATATTGCAAAATTAATGAATGTTAGAAGGATGTCAGAATGAAGTTAAGTGGTTTAAGCAGCAATGTTATAAAGGTGTATGTAAAAATGGATTGTTAACAGGTGAGAATCCAAAGTTATAATATATTATGTTAAAGGACTAAGATAAAAACAAAGAGGGAAAGAAATTGCTGAATTAACTACCGTATTTTTTGCTCCATAAGACTCACTTTTTCCCTCCTAAAAAGTAAGGGGAAATGTGTGTGCGTCTTATGGAGCGAATGCAGGCTGCACAGCTATCCCAGAAGCCAGAACAGCAAGAGGGATTGCTGTTTTCACTGCGCAGCGATCCCTCTTGCTGTTCTGGCTTCTGAGATTCAGAATATTTTTTCTTGTTTTCCTCCTCCAAAAACTAGGTGCGTCTTGTGGTCTGGTGCGTCTTATAGAGCGAAAAATACGGTAACTGAATTGGAATACAAAAAAGGGAGGCGTGAGGAGGTCAGGGAAACAAGGAAATGAATGTAAGGTATGGAAAGACTGATGTATTTTTTTAAAGTGTTTTTTATCTTTTTTTGTATTTTGTATTTTTTCTTTTATTTTTTCTTTTGTCTTTCTTTTTCTTCTTTTTTTAATTTATGTAATTCTTTTCTTTGAAACCTTAATAAATATCATTAAAAAAAAATAAATGGAGGAAGCCAGCGGCATGGGCTCTGTGCCCCCTCAAGACAGAGGACGCCGAAGCTGCCGAAGATGAGGCAGCAATTGTGGCATGTGTGGCATAGGCGGGGGGCCCTTTCGGGAGGGGGGTTGCTTTCGGGAGGCGGTGGGTCCGGCCCCTCCTGAAAATGTTTGCTGACCCCGGGACTAGATGATCCTCAGGGTCCTTTCCAACTCTACAATTCTGTGATTCTAATCTGCCTCCCTGTTTCTTTCCTCCTAAGAACGTAAGAGACTGGCTGCTGGATCAGAGCAATGCACACATAGTCCAGCATCCGGTTATCGTATTGGCCAACCGGATGCCCAAGGGAACCTGCAAGCAAGATCTGAGAACAGCGCTCTCCCCATTGTGAATACCAAGGTGGTATTCAGAAGCATTGCTTCCTCCGGTGATGGGGAGAGAATGCAGCCGTCTTGGCTAGTAGCGCCGATAGTCTTCTCTTCCACAAGCTAGCCTAATCTTTCCACATGCACCCCAGATTGGCTCAAAGGCACCAGGAAACCCCCAAGCAGCCTGTAGGGGGAAGAGTGAGGATATTGTTCTGTCTGGAAAGCCGCAATGCTTCTGCAGATGGGGTTCCCCATAGTGCAACATGGAATTCCATCCTGAGAGTCCTCCCTTGGTTCAAAACAAGTGGGAGCAGCTGGGATGTTTGTGCCTTTTTGTTTTCCTTTAAAAAAAGGGGTGACTCAGCATATTTTCCAAAGCACCTTCCTTCCCTGTGATAGCAGGAGACACAAAAGCTGATGGGCAATATACTGTTGCATGCCACCCCGAACTCTGACTGGTGCAAAATTCCAGGGTTTTGTGTTTCCTTTGGAATGAGGTACAGCTGTGGGGGGTCTTTGTGATATATGGTTTATGTACATGGATATACAACCTATGGTTTTCTTGGGAGAAAAGCAATGACAAACCTAGATAGCCTCTTAAAAAGCAGAGACATCACCTTGCCAACAAAGGTCCGTATAGTTAAAGCCATAGTTTTCCCACTAGTGATGTATGGAAGTGAGAGCTGGACCATAAAGAAGGCTGATCGCCAAATAATTGATGCTTTTGAATTATGGTGCTGGAGGAGACTCTTGAGAGTCCCATGGACTGCAAAAAGATCAAACCTCTCCATTCTGAAGGAAATCAGCCCTGTGTTCACTGGAAGGACAGATCCAGAAGCTGAGACTCCAATACTTTGGCCACCTCATGAGAAGAGAAGACTCCCTGGAAAAGACCCTGATGTTGGGAAAGATGGAGGGCACAAGGAGAAGGGGACGACAGAGAATGAGATGGTTGGACAGTGTTCTCGAAGCTACCAGCATGAGTTTGACCAAACTGTGGGAGGCAGTGGAAGACAGGAGTGCCTGGTGTGCTCTGGTCCATGGGGTCACGAAGAGTCGGACACGACTAAACGACTAAACAACAAAATATACAACCTGAGTCTATGATGGAGGGGTTCATAGCCATAGCCTTGGATGTGAGCAGAAATCAGGCATGTCTATACCTCACAGGCTTCAGCCTGCTTCTTCCTCCGGCTTCTCTCTCTCTCTCTCTCTCTCTCTCTCTCACACACACACACACACACACCCCTCAGCTCTGGCCTTTGTCTTTTCTAACTATCTACCAGCAAGTTGAGGGAGGAGGGCGCACCCATTTACTGTCTGGCACAGAACTACCATACTTCCTTTGTTACCCTGGCCATTCCAATACTTCAAACCCTTTCTTAGATTTTAACATTTGCTGTATGCAGGAATTAGAAAGATCTTGCATACAGCCTACCCCCCGCCCCGCAATAACAATATATTAAAAGGTTGACCTTGCACAAGAAGCCCATTTTTCCAATTCTTTAAAATGGAAACATAAATCCTTTCTGCTCCAAGGCCATTAATTTTATTGGGTCCTTTAAAAAGGGGGAGGGGATTGATGGTATGGACTGGACACAGAGTGGGGTTAAGTTATTCTAGCTTAAATAATTAATATGGAGGACAGAGGATCAACCACCAGAGGGCTACATAAAGTAAGGAAAGAGGAATAACTGTCAGATTTGGTTTCTCTCAGGTTCTCAGTTTTCCAGTCTACAGTTTTACTCACTTTCACATTAGTTTGTGATTTATTTATTTATTTATTAGGAGTCTGCATTATAATGTATATGTATATTAAACTGTACATGTATATTTTTACCTAAAATGTACAATTTTGCAAGCATTCCCTCCCCCAGAATATAATGCTCTCTCTCTTTTTTGCATTGCTTTCACTATTAATTTTTGTGTGCACTTTCCCCTAATATTAGGTACACATTTCTTTTGTTGGAGAGCTGCGTTGTAAAGAAATCTGAGAAGTGCGAAGGATACCTGCGTTTCAGATGGTTTGAGAAGTGCAAATGGTGTAGATTCACATCAATACGCGAACCAAACAAATTCATCCCCCATTACTAATCAGGGGCTATTAGAATTAATTACAAACTTAGTTACGTTAGTTTCGGCCATAGCAGATAGCAAGACGAATAAAGTAGTAGGTTTTAGCAGAAGCCGAACTGCAGCAGAACCAAAACAGCGCTGATTGCGGCGAACACAGGACGGGATGCTGCCTCCTCACATCCTTAACTGCCATCTTGGGGAGCAAGGTGAGTTCTAACAAGCTAAGGAGAGCCTGCTGGATCAGGCCAAGCCAGTCCAGCATCCTGTTCTCACAGTGGCTGCGCAGATACCTGTGGGAAACCATTGATAGCTCACCCCTCCTCCTCCATGATAGGCCTTCTCTCCCATAGGAGGTCGGGTCGTCACCCAAGTCTGTTCTGGCAAATAGGCATTGGTAATCCTTGATGCTACCCTGAATGAGACAGAGGAGGACAAAGTACAAAATATGAGGTCTTATCTGTTCAATCACAGACCACCATGATACGGGGGGGGGAGTGCAAGTCCTCAAAAAACCGTGACCAGTGCTCGTTTTCTCCTTCCCGTCTGCCTCTTTTGCTGAATGTATATTGCTTTGTTTCATTTTGTGTGTGGCTTATAATTTTTATGAGTTTATTTGTTTTCATTATTGTATGTCCTGCAAAGATCCCCAGTGTTGAAGCAATGATTCTTCAGCATCAACTTTGTTGGACTGGTCATGTTGTGCGGATACCTGATTATCGTCTTCCAAAGCAACTATTCTATTCCGACCTAAAAAATGGAAAGCATAATGCTGGTGGTCAACAAAAGAGGTTTAAAGACTCTCTCAAGGCAAATCTAAAAAAATGTAGTATAAACACCGACAACTGGGAAACACTGGCCTGCGAGCGCTCCAATTGGAGAACAGCCTTTACCAAGGTGTCATGGGCTTTGAAGACACTCAAACTCAGAACGCAAGGGAGAAACATGTTAAGAGGAAGGCATGCTTGGCAAATCCACACCGTGATCAACTCCCGCCCGGAAACCAATGTCCCCACTGTGGAAGGATGTGTGGATCCAGAATTGGCCTCCACAGTCACTTACGGACTCATTGTTAAGACCGTGTTAATGTAAGACAATCTTACTCGGCTACGAGTGATCACCAAAGAAGAAGAAGACCGCACCCTGTTGTTGTAACCTCCCCCTGGAACCTCATGACGAAGGATGGGGCAAGAAATATTATTCAAGAAATAAACAAATCATTTTGAAATATTGGTGGGATGATTGCTCTGAAGAAGATTCTCCCGAGCCCCTTTGACAGAGTGACAGGTGAAAAACGCCTCAGGAGGAATTTAGAGCAATATAGAGGAAGAGTTTCCTTATATAAAGAGGCTTTAATTGTGAGAATATAACTGCTTCTTACCAGAACCTTACAAGATGGGGAATGTCTCTCATCTCCCCCTCATCAGCACATTGTTTCTCATCTATAAGCAGTCCTTGCAATATCAGCACTGTGGGGATCAGTTGGTTATAAGCTACAAGCAGCTCCCAGCTTTAAAAACCTGCATGATTTAGAAAAGGATTTATTATTATTTTTTGGAAGGAACAGTGTGGTGCTAGACTTGCATTATCACCCTTGCAAAGCCACTCATTATACATATTTGGTTGTACTCGGTAACAGTACATATGGTTCCACCATCCCCATATTTGCAAAGTAGCAACATGGCATTAAATTTATATAGTTTTAAGTAATTCCACCCTCCTGTCTTGGAGGCTTTGGTTTAATATTGATTTTGGAAAGAGCAGTGATTCATTCTATTTTAATTGATCTCACCCCCTGTAGATGTCTGCTGCTGGTTAATGCCCTTCACTGGGAAAGTAGAGCAAGATGATATATATTGCCGGTAACTGGTATTCTCCAGATATATTGCATTGTAGACCTACCAGATTCTGATGTGGGGAAACTTTAAACCCTTCCAGGCTCAGGGGTTTCCCCAAATCTGGTAGCTCTACAATACTAGTGGGTTCTGGTGCAATCTTGCACGACCTTGCCAAAATCTCGTGAGATCTCACACGCTCTGCAAGATCTGGCAAGATTTTGTCGGAAGGTGGCACTAATGTCAGCACTGCTTCTCTGCCACTGGCAAAGGTGGCAGGATACCAACAGGGGCATTGCCTTGGGGTCTTCCGCTGCTTGGGGCAGCTGCTTCACCCCGCCTCATGGGAGGGCTGGTCCTGCCTGAGACTATAGATGGATGAATCTGTCAATTTTAGTTTCTCTTATCTCCTCATTTTTCCAGTATCCAGTTTAGTTGATTTGCACATCAGCAGTCTGATTTTTTTTTTAAGTCCTTCTCAAAATTCATCAGGTTTTTTGTGCAAAATTCTACTTATATATCTAGTTCTGTATGGAATTTTGCCTAATATTCACATAATTTTGCAAAGCAATGGCTCCTTAACATAATGTATTTTTGCGTGTTATTTTCCTGAAATATGTACGTTACCCTGCTATATGCATTTTTGTACACTTGATTTTGCTGGAGAATTGCACTGGAGAGGTGCCTGAATTTCAAAGAGTGGCTGTGTTTGGCTGCATGTACTTTATCTGGAAAGCGCAAATTATGTAGCTTCACCTTTAAAATGAAATGGATCAGATTTCTCCCCTATGCCTATCCGGAAAACAAGTATCTGTCAGATTTCCTCTTCCCCAATCAACTGACCTGGGATTGTGGGGCAGTAGGTGTATGGGATTGGTGTAGGGCCTTCTCTGTAGTGGTGCCCTGGCTGTGTAAGGGCTCCTCCAGAAGGCCTCTTTACTGATCATTCAGCTTGATTTGCTTGCACAGAGCTTATGGGGAGTTTATATTAGGTCTCTTCCTTAGCGAGGCTACTGCTCATTGTCAAAGCACCTCCCTGCAGTTTTGTGAATAAAAAAAAAAATATTATAATAAACGAACATGCAACAACCTATTAAAAAAACCCAGCAGCCTAAACAACAATAATGCCAGAACTTTGGGCACAGATGAAAATATGGACATCCTTGTGTACTACTAACCTTCACTGCCCCTGTGCATCCTCCAACTAAAGTGTGCCCTCCTTTTTCACATTGCTGATGGCATTTTTTTGCTGGCTCTGCATGAAATGGACTAGAACAGTCACACACACACACACACACACACACACACACCCCTGCTCTTTGAAGAAACATAAGACTGTCCAGTCTGTAGGGATGGATGAATCTGTCAATCTAGGTCTACTCTTCCAATCATAAGTCCTGTTCTCCACATTTCCACATCAATCTGCATTTTAAAAATAATCTTCATGACTTTTAGTGTGACGTTCTCCTGATATATAATTTTTAAACGCAATTTTTCCCAGGAGGTGCATTTTTGCAAGTACTTTCCCACTTTTGTAGGATGCTGTCCACCAACATGTGCATTTTTATGTTTCCCCCTAGCAAACACGTTTTTGTCTACATTACCATGGCTGGAGATACTGCACTTCAAAATTCAGAGAGGTGCAAATTTCAAAAGAGAGACGTCGTTCAGGCCGCACATTGCTCCAGGACGTGCGAATTAAATAAGGCCGCCTTCAAATGTGATCTGAACTGCGTTTCTTTCCCATCTTTACCATCCAGTCTCATAGTCAGGATCTGGTTGCAATGAATATCTAGAATGGCCTCTGCCACTCAAGCACATCCAGCGGCATTTATCACATCGAGGGGCAGTTATGGGTGAGGGTGAAAGTTCGGAAGCAGCCCGCTGGTGTTATGTTCATGCATTCATGTGCAATCCCGGGCATGCCTGCTCAGAAGTAAGTCCCACTGAGTTTAAGGAGACTTAAGGTAAAGGTAAAGGGACCCCTGACCATTAGGTCCAGTCGTGGCCGACTCTGGGGTTGCGCTCATCTCGCTTTATTGGCCGAGGGAGCCGGCGTACAGCTTCCGGGTCATGTGGCCAGCATGACTAAGCTGCTTCTGGCGAACTAGAGCAGCACACGGAAACGCCGTTTACCTCCTCCTACCCTCCTACCTCCTTCCAAAAGCTCAAAGTGCTTGCACAGGGCGCTGCTGAAATTTTAGAACCGTTTACCTTCCCGCTGGAGCAGTACCTATTTATCTACTTGCACTGCTTGCTTTCGAACTGCTAGGTTGGCAGGAGCTGGGACCGAGCAACGGGAGCTCACCCCGTCGCAGGGATTCGAACTGCCGACCTTCTGATCGGCAGGTCCTAGACTCTGTGGTTTAACCCACAGCGCCACCCGCGTCCCTACGGAGACTTACTCCAAGGTTAATGCAGCCTGTGTGTGGAATCAAGACGCAACTGGCTCTCCTTTTACCAGATTTAACCAAACGGAAGACTTCTATTGCATTCTGTCAGGGCACAGTCGCAAACTTACTAAATAAATTAAAAAAATCCCTCCCCAACTCCCCCTCCCCCGAGGAATAGAAGGGAGAGAGTTTTTACCAGCAGCACACCCTTAAAAAAAATAAAATAAAATACACAGGGACCTGTCCCTGGTTAAGGACACTTGGAGAGTGTGATTCAAATGTTTCCTTTGGTAATTAGGTCTGTGTTGTCAGATAATAGATTATCCTCGCGGTGTCTACGAGGATAGACTAGTTTGGAACGAGCACAGACAAGGCTGGGCACTAGAGCAGGCAGTGACTAAGAAGCTTCTGAAATTTGTCATGTCAGGGAAGGAGGGGGAACTTCAACGAAGCTGTTGCTTTTGCCAAGGAAAGAAAACACCGGGCGTCTGCATGTGTGCGTGTGTGCGCGCTCACTAGCTGACAAGATACCGCTCCGGAGCGGCTGGTATTTGAGCTCACGGAGGCTCAGCGGTGTGCTGCCGGAGCCGGTCTTGGATACAGCTGTTGCTCTGGTGAGGCAAAAGGAAGCAAAAAAAGGAAACTCGGAAATGCCGGCTCGGGTTTAATGCGTTCCCAGTAATTGCAGAGTCAAGAACGATCCATTCAAAAGCACTCAGGTAGGTGCTTGTATTGAGCTGTGTGAATTTTAATACATATAGAGAGAGATTGTGTATGAGTGAATGAGAGAGAGAGAGAGAGAGAGAGAGAGAGAATAAAAATGATTGCTAGGTAATGGATCATGGAAAGGGGTATGGGAGAACAATAAATGATGCTATTGTTGATTTGATTGATAATAATTCGGGAAAGAGGACAGTTAGATTTAGAAAGCTCAAAATGGCCTTTCTCGGGACCATTTCAGAATTTTCAAATTTTTTATCTCTTAAAGTTGTCTAGAAAAATTTGCAAAAGTTTGTTTGCTTCTGTGTGTGTGTGTGTGTGTGTGTGTGTGTGTTTAAATGACACCTGAAGAAAAAAGACTGGGGATGGCACAAGTGTTCAAAAAGTCATGTGAATACTTTAACCAAAATGATGGGGAAACTGGATATGAATGAGAGAGAAGCCAAATAATTTATTTTTTCATACGCTTGGAGCTTCCTGTTTCACTGGAGTTTATTTGGGCAAAAAGAACTCAAATCCATTATAAAGATGTGGAGCAGTGGTTTTTGGCTTGAGCCCAGTCTGAGCAGTGGGGGAAATTAAATATGTAATCCTATATACAAATAACTCTGGAGTACTCCTCATTGAGTTCAATGGAGATTACTTCTGAGTCAGAAGACATAGGATCACCATTGGGATGAGTTTTTTCAGCCTTTGTGTCTATGCTCCACGCTTTTTTTTAAGGAATGTTATGAAAGGTGTTAATGCAATGGCATTCCCAATTAATTAATTTCATCAATTCCTCATCCATTCTGCTAATGCCTCGTTAATTCCTAATTCCACCGCATGGAAGTAGCAGTAGACTGTAAACCAGACTCTTATCTGCTGGGTAGAAAAATACTTCCCAGATCTGAGGGAAAATCACACACTGGGTACAATTTGCTCACCGTAAAATGCCCCCAAGTCCCATTGATGTCAGTAGGAAACTTAAGCTGTTGCTTAACTCACTTCCATTGAAACCAATGGGACTCCAAATCGTTTAGCTCTGGCTGGATCTTGCCCAGTGTGTATGCTTCCTAAAACAGAGAGACACAGACTTGAAGGTCACATCCTTGAAGCCCTCACATCCCTGTTAAGAAAGTTGAATGGGGGGGGGTTGTTGTGGCTACTCTGTACATGCTCAGAACAAGCCTCCTTTTAACTGTATCACATGGTTCCTCTGAGCGTCCTCCTTGCACTGGAAACCTGTCTCCAAGGCATAGTCTTATATGCATCCAATACACATCTTCTGTGGCTATTTCTTGGAGTTGTAGCCCACTCTGTGCCACAGTGATGTCAGGACAGGTGACGATTCCCTCTTACGCCACGCCAGGGGCTTTGTGCAATTGCTAGCGATGCCTTGAAAGGTTGTGTCTTTGCAGCAGTGGGGCATTGAAAGGTGAGGGTTCAAATCCTGCCCTCTTAGGGCTTGGCTTCATTACCGTTTTTCATAGCCTTTCCACGAGGGAGGGGGGTCACAGCTCATGCGCTGTCTGCTGCAGATCTCTGGTTCAATCCCACACATCTTTACCCAAGTCCCTGGGAAGCCATATCCAACCAAAGGTTGCAGCAATATACCGAGTTAGCACAACCAATGGTTTGGCACAGACAAAGGTGGCTTCATGTGCACTGTGTACTTGAACCTCACAATTTCCCGCTTGTTTAAAGCGGGTAGAGGTATTGATCCAGGTAAAGCCCCCCTCCCTTACAAAATGCACACCATCCTTACTCATTTGTTCCTCCCTGACAAAGGCTACTCAGACGATTACTCAGTCCACTTCTTTGGAGAAGCCCAGTGTCGCAAAAGGTCGAGATGCAATTTCTATGCGACGCAGAGCATTTCTATGCGACACAGAGATGTAGAGATTGTAGGATTAAACCTCAAGGTAGCGTTTTGGGCTAACTGATCACATCAGTTAAAAGGGTCCGTGGTTCCGGATCCATGCAGCGCAGCCTATGTTTATTATATAATTTTGCAGCCGTCTCTTTTATTTTTAATACTCCGCTGAATCACAATGTGTGTGCGTTCACATTTTTGGAATGCCAATGATAAAAATGGCAAATAGTTGGGCAGAGATCCAGTTCCTGGGAAAAAAGAAGAAGTTTGGACGAGCCCGAGAAATTGTGTCTCCTTGGAATATGCAGAAATGCGGGATCCTATTCTGGTTTGCAAGACAACCTGAGCAATGATATGCAGCCACCTAATGGCAAACCAGCTTGTTGGGACCTCTTCCTGCTTGCAGCCTTCTCGATTCGAGGAGGACAAAGCAAAAACCAGACAAGCTAGCAGCGCAGGGAGAGCAGAAACCTAGGTGGGCTTTCACAGCATGTATCTATGCATTATTTGTTTATTTATTCAAAACATTTCCATGCCGCCCCGAAAGTCAAAATTCCTGGGGCATTTTGCCATGACAATACAAATAGCAAGATAAAAACAAGGAAAAGCAAGTGCCAAAATAAGGAGGAAGAGCCGTAGCTAGGTGGGAAGCACCTGCCTTGGATGCAAAAGGCTCCTGTTTCTATCCCATCTCCGCTTATAGCAGCCTGAGTCATTGGAGAGCTGCTGCCTGTCCGTGTTGACAGTACTGGGCTGGATGGACCAATGGTGTGGCTCAGTATGGGGCTGCTTCCTATAATCTTAATAAATCACCTCAGGTGGGAAATGGCTTAAAGAGGTTTTTTTTAAATAATATTTTGAAAATGAATTTATCTCCAGTGCCTTTTGGAAGGATCAGATTTCAGACACCACAGGGTCTTCTTTTATCCCAACAAGTCAGTATAATTCTTTTATCCTCCAGAGGCTGCTATTTTATCCACATGTACCTTTAATGTTTTTAAATGTACCACATGTTTTTAATGTTCTGTTGAAAGCCACCCAGAGTGGCTAGGGAAACCCAGCCAAATGGGCGGGGTAGAAATAATAATAATAATAATAATAATAATAATAATAATAATACCTGGGAGGGAGTTAAGCTCCGTGACAAACATGGACTTATTCCTGAGTTAGGCACACAAACACAAATGCACAGTTAAGGATTGTAATTAGTAAGTTTTCAAGACCTCGTGTCAATATTTTGCTCTTTCTTTTTTCAGAAAAGGAAAGAGATGCTAGACTTGGCTCTAGATGCAGTAGACTATGGACTGGCACATGCTAAAATCCGCCAGCCTCTTCAAAGTAGATTACAAGGACTCTTACCTCTCATTAGTTCTTGGCCATCAGTTAAACACACAAACGCACACACCACCGCAACAAAAACAAACAAACAAACCCTGCTATACATTTTGAACTGATTTGAATTTCAAATTTGAGTTTAAGCTTGAAACAGGAATTGAGGGGATGCTCATCAAATTTGCAGATGACACCAAATTGGGAGATGTAGCTAATGTTGCAAAAGACCAAATCAGAATTCAGTATGACCTTAACAGATTGGAGAACTGGGCGCAAGCTAACAAAACGAATTTCAATAGGGACAAATGTCAGGTTCTGCACTTAGGCAGGAAGAACCGGATGCACAAATATAGGATGGGGTGCACCTGGCTTACTAGCAGTACATGTGAAAAGGATCTAGGGGTCTTGGTGGACCACAAGCTTAACATGAGTCAACCATATGATGCAGCAGCAAAACAAGCTAACGCTGTTCCAAACATAAGGCTAGTGTTTGATCAAGAGAGGTAATAGTACTGCTCTATTCTGCCTTGGTCAGAACACACCTGAAATACTGTTTCTAGTTCTGGGTGCTGGCATTTAAGAAAGATGTTGACAAGCTGGAAGGTGTGCAGAGGAGGGCGACCAAGATGATCAAGGGTCTGGAAAAAGCCTTATGAGGAACGGTTGTGGGAATTGGGTATGTTTAGCCTGGAAAAGAGGAGACTGAGAGGAGATATGGTAGCCATCGTTAAATATCTAAACGGCTGTCGCACGGAAGGTAAAGCAAGCTTGTTTTCTCCTGCTCTGGCAGGTAGGACCCAAATTAGTGGATTTAAGTTTCAAGAAAAGAGATTCTGACTAAACATCAGGAATAACTTTCTGACAGTAAGAGTTTTTAGGCGGTGGAACAGAGTCCCACGGGAGGCGATGTACTCTCCTTCCTTGGAGGTTTTTAAGCAGAGATTGGATGGCCATCTGCCATGGATGCTTTAGCTGAGATTCCTGCATTGCAGGGGGTTGGACTAGATGACCCCTGGGGTCTCTTCCAGCTCTAAGATTCTATGAAGGCAAAATTATGCACGATGCTTCAAAGATTTGTGTCCCATCAATGCTGGAATGGAGTGGCGTGGGTGTTTGAGGCAGCGTTGAGTTTGAATGAAGCTCCACATCCCTGCCCAGTCACAAATCTCCCACTATGGCCTTGGGCAAGTCTGAACTTACTAGGGCTCTTGTCAGGGTTCTGCTTTGCTGCTTTAAGCCAAGCAGGGAGCTATTGCGTTGCCAGCGGCATGCAGTGAAATTTTTTCCCAGGGGAATAGTTAAGGCCAGAGGTGCCAGCATGCAAGGGCAATTGGAGGGGTTAGTGATGTGTGCGTGACATCACACATGTTAAAGATTTTCTTGTTTTACAGAAGTATGTGTAATGTCTCTCGTATTTTTTCCATGTAACATTTTTACAAATCCGTTTCATTTGTTGAGACATTAGGGGGAGAAAAAAAGGGGTGGGGGGGGGAAGATGGGTGGGGGTGGGGTCGGGTGGCGATGTTTCTATTATGCTTAATGTATGTAGGGTTTGGTGTCAGCGATGCTTGTGCTGTTCACTTGTGTTCCTTTGGTGGTGAGACAGGTTGGGGTTGGCCTAGGATGTGGCTGTTTGTGATTGGCTGTGGTGATCTTTGTTTTTGTGTGTGAGTGGGGTGGATGAGTGTTTTGGATCAGGTTAGCCATATTGATTTGTATGCTGTTGGTGGATTATTGTCATTGTCTTGTTGGGCTGTGTATGTGATAAAGGGGAGCCATACCGGGGTAAAGGCATCTTCTTCTGCTTGTCCCTGTGTCAGTTTCAGTTTATTGGTTAATTTTTCTAGTAGGGCTGTTTCCCACACTATTTGGTACCACTGGTCCATGCTTACTCCTGACAGGTCTCTCCAGTGTCTGATTATGGTGTTTCTGGCTGCTGAAAGTAGGTGGGTTATGAGTTCTTTGTGGTGTAAATGGGCATTGTTGTCTTGGAAGATGTTTAGTAGGGCCAATTCTGGGGTGTCTAATACTTGCTTATTTTACATATTTCTCATGTGGCTGTTGTCCAGAATAGTTGGATTTTTGGGCACTCCCACCACATGTGGAGGTATGTCCCTGTGGAGGTGCACCCTCTCCAGCATTTTGGTGAGGTTCCTGGGCGTATTATCGCTAGTTTTCTTGGTGTTAGGTACCACCAGTAGGTGAGTTTCAGAGAGAATTCTTTTCTTTTCGTTGATATGGATTTAAAGGGGGGTTTAGACCACATTCTGGTCCATTGAGTGGGGTTAATCTCATAGCCTATGTCATTCTCCCATTGTTTTTTGATTGCGTCTAGGGGGTTTGTGGGATTTTGGAGTAGTATTTTGTATATTGCGGATACCATCCCTTTACCATTTCCCTTTGTTGTTAGGAGGAGGTTTTCGAAGGTTGTCAGGTGCCTAGTTGCTGCTGATTTTACTGTTGGGTTGTTTAAGAGGGCAGAAGCTTCCTGAGCTTTGGGATGGGTGCACCAGGCCTCTGACAGGATGCTGCGTCATACAGTCACGGAGTGAATGGGATCTCATGAGATTTCTGAACCTGGCAGGATTTGCATTTACCTCGGGTGGTACCTCGGGTTACAGATGCTTCAGGTTACAGACTCCGCTAACCCAGAAATAGTACCTCAGGTTAAGAACTTTGCTTCAGGATAAGAACAGATATTGCAAGTTAGCAGCGGGAGGCCCCATTAGGTAAAGTGGTACCTCAGGTTAAGAACAGTTTCAGGTTAAGAACAGGCCTCCGGAACGAATTAAGTTCTTAACCTGAGGTACCACTGTATCTCTTTTGGACAGAAATGCCAAGTTGTCTTTTTCTCTACCAGGTTTTCCCCCCATTTGGGTTCCTGTCAAGATTTTGAACACTTGGCCATCTATTTTCGATAAATTTTGTTTTCTTATTAAAAGACCTTAGTGCTCAGCACTCAGCATGTAAATAGCATTCTAGACCAGGGTTTTCCCAAACAATAATTTTAAAAATGCAATATTACAAGCAGTTACAAACAGGCTTCTCAGTTGTGGCTCTGTTCCTGTTTGCATGGCAGCACAGAGTTCGCTGTTGGAGGGAGTGATATCAGGACACAGCTGCCCCACGGAGCTCTCCAAAGTATTGATTCTTACTGCGTTCCTGAAACTGACTCTCTCTTCTCAGAGAGCCTAATGCCACTGCTTTCTGCTCTTCACTCCTGACTCTCTCCCCTCCAGATCTAGGGGTTTTAGTGAGCCATAAGCTTAACATGAGTCAACTGTGTGATGCGGCAGCAAAAGAAGCTAACACTGTTCCATTAACAGAAGTCTAGTGTCTGATCAAGAGGGGTAATAGTACAGCTCTATTCTGCCTTGGTCAGGACACACCTGTGTCTACTGGTGCCACAATTTAGGAAGGATGTTGACAAGCTGGAACGTGGGCGGAGGAGGGCAACCAAAATGATCAAGGGTCTATAATTGGAAGTAAGGATAAGAAGTTTGTAATGAAAGAGGATATTGATGTTACAAATATGAAATTGGGAACTGCTAAATATGTGTTATGATGAAATTCAGATTGGAAGGTGTCAAGGAAGTCTTCTAGCAATGTAAATATAACAGGGAATAAGAAGAAGAAGAAAATCTTCTTTTAACTTTTGCGTTTTTATTGTTGTTAAGTTTTTATGTTGTGTTAAATGTAATGTTTTTTTCTGTGTTTATGTTTGTTTATTATAAGAGAAAACCACTAATTATTTTTTGGGGGGGTGAATGATCAAGGGTCTGGAAACCAAGCCTGTTGAGGGATGGTTGAGGGAATTGGGTATGTTTAGCCTGGAAAAGAGGAGACTGAGAGGAAATATGGTAGCCATCTTCAAATATCTTAAGGGCTGTCACATGGAAGATGGAGCAAGTTTGTTTTCCCCTGCTCTGGCAGGTAGGACCCGAACTAGTGGATTTAAGTCACAAGAAAGGAGATTCTGGCTACACATCCGGAAGACTTTTCTGGTGTTAAGAGCTGTTCGGCAGTTGACCAGATTCCCAAGGGGAGTGGTTGACTCTCCTTCCTTGGAGGTTTTCAAGCAGAGGTTGGATGGCCATCTGTTATGGATGCTTTAAACTGAGATTCCTGCATTGCAGGGGGTTGGACTAGATGACCCTCAGGGTCCCTTCCAACTCTACAATTCTACGATTCTATGATTCCTTTTCTTCATAATAATAATAATAATAATAATAATAATAATAATTTAATATTTTTACCCCGACCATCTGGCTGGGTTTCCCCAGCCACTCTGGGCGGCTTCCAACAAAGACCAAAAAAACACTAAAATGTCACACATTAAAAACTTCCCTGAACAGGGCTGCCTTAGGATGTCTTCTGAATGTTAGGTAGTTGTTTATCTCTTTGACATCTGATGGGAGGGCGTTCCACAGGGCGGGTGCCACTACTGAGAAGGCCCTCTGCCTGGTTCCCTGTAACTTGACTTCTCGCAGCGAGGGAAGCACCAGAAGGCCCTCGGCGCTGGATCTCAGTGTCTGGGCAGAACGATGGCGGTGGAGACGCTCCTTCAGGTATACTGGACCGAGGCCGTTTAGGGCTTTAAAGGTCATCACCAACACTTTGAATTGTGCTCATAAATAAACAGGTTTTCCAAGGAAGCACTAGAGCTTCAAAATCAACTTTAATTGTACCACCTGACCCTGCTGGCATGCCATTGAATCCCACCTGTACATAGTGGCAGTCTGGACTCCACCTAGAGGCAAGAAGAAAGACCAAATATAAAAATAGCAGGTGCTTTGGCTCCATGTGCACATAATGGTAGAAGCCAGACTTTCTAGCTTATTGTGATATATTGTGAAAGACAGGTGTGCTGGTATGTGCTGCCTGATCATTCTCTTGTTGCTCCTTCCCCAGAGGAATAAACAAACCAGAAAATTATGGTTTCCTGTTATGGATGAAACAGGTCATGGCTTGTTGCTCTCTATTGCTAGCCAACCTTAAGCCATAGCTATTGTTGGCTAGGGAATGTGCCTTGTTTCGAAGAATCACTTATACTTCAAAAGAAAAGGCACACCTGGTGTTTATTTTTTAAATTGAAGGGATGGCTAACATCACCAAGAACCCCATGTAATACATAGTCCTTCAGATGTTGCTGGACTTCAACTCCCATCAACTCCCTACCAGTATGGCCAATGGTCAAGGAGGATGGGAGTTATAGTCCAACAACATCTGGAGGGCCACGAATTCCAAATCCCTTTATTAAACGAGGAATACACGAGAACTTGGGATGCGGGTGGCGCTGTGGGTTAAACCACATAGCGTAGGACTTGCCGATCAGAAGGTCGGCGGTTCAAATCCCCGTGATGGGGTGAGCTCCCATTGCTCGGTCCTAGCTCCTGCCAACCTAGCAGTTTGAAAGCACGTCAAAGTGCAAGTAGATCAATAGGTACCACTCTGGCAGGAAGGTAAATGGCGTTTCCGTGCGCTGCTCTGGTTCGCCAGAAGCGGCGTAGTCATGCTGGCCACATGACCCGGAAGCTGTACACCGGCTCCCTTGGCCTGTAAAGCGAGATGAGCGCCGCAACCCCAGAGTTGTCCACAACTGGACCTAATGGTCAGGGGTCCCTTTACCTTTACATGAGAACTGCTGGAGCATTCAGGTAGCTCAGACTGTTCCCTGTCCACCGCTGAAACATGGTTATTTTTCTGGATTTATATCTAAGTCAATTTCCATTTTTTTGCACATGACCTGCCTAGAGAACTGCATGGCAAAATTCAGGGAGATGAGAAGTTTGAAAGATGTTTCGGTTCATTTACTGCATTGGAAAATGTGGATTAGGTAGGTTCACCTTTATATATGAACTGAATCCAATTCTACACCATCCTCATTTACATCCAGTGGGTTTAAGGCACTGCTTGTATGTTTATTCTAAAGATTTGCACCCCACCTTTCTAGGCACAAGCCAGCTCAAGGCAGCTTAAAAGTAAAGGTACCCCTGATCATTAGGTCCAGTCGCAGACAGCTATGGGGTTGTGCGCTCATCTCACTCTATAGGTTCAGGGAGCCGGCGTACAGCTTCCGGGTCATGTGGCCAGCATGACTAAGCCGCTTCTGGCAAACCAGAGCAGCGCAGAGAAACGCCGTTTACCTTCCCGCCGGAGCAGTACCTATTTATCTACTTGCACTGGCATGCTTTCGAACTGCTAGGTTGGCAGGAGCTGGGACCGAGCAACGTGAGCTCACCCCGTCGCGGGGATTCGAACCACCGACCTTCCAAAAGGCAAGCCCTAGGCTTTGTAGTTTAGACCGCAGTTCCACCCGCGTCCCACCCAAGGAAGCTTACAACGATCTAAATATAATGAAGGTTCATAGGATTTTCAGCTAGTTTTCCATCCAGGCACTCAGCAGGTTGAGATCATCTGAGCTTCACCAAGCTTGCTGCATTGTCCTGGGATAGCTCAGTCAGTAGAGCACGAGACTCTTAATCTCAGGGTCATGAGTTCGAGTTCCACATTGGGCAAAAGATTCCTGCCTTGCAGGGGGTTGGACTAGATAACCCTCGGGGTCCCTTCCAGCTCTAACAATTCTATGATTATATGTGCCTTCCAGCCAGCCTAAGTCAGATATCTCCTCCTATGACCAATCTTAAAAAAGAAGAAGTCAGAAATAGTATTTTAATTTATCTTCCATAGTGGAACACTCCTAAAATCCTAGCCACTTTGTGGCTTCAGCATCAAAAAAGTTTTGCTCCCCCCGCCAGCACCATCCTAACTTTGCTTAAAATCCAGCCCGATTAAGAGTTCTGGGGGCTTTAGAAGCTTCCTCTCTGTTCTCTGATGTTGCAGTTGGTCCTAAGAAAAATATTGTGGATTGTGGGTCTCTCCCCCCCTACCTTGGAATATAAGAGATGAGTGGGGGGGGAGGGGAAAGGAGAAGAAATTATAAAGCATTTCTGATTAAAGGAGACTGTGGGAGCAAATATCAGTAGCAGGAAATATTTTGTCTCCTGATGTTTAGAAGCGGCTTATCGTGGCTGATATCTTCCTGCTGGCAAGGTCTCAGGCTGAGACTGCCGGCCTTGAAACCTCCTAAGCTTTGAAGATTTCCTGGCTACCCGGCATCTATGGGACCTTACTGCAGCTCCTGAGAAAGGTCAATATTATAACTGATTGAAATAAACCCCTGCATAAAGATGTGCTTTTCTGAAACGAATGGCTAAATTTGTTCTTAAGCAGGTAACACCGTCCCCACAAAAAACACACAATAAAACTGGTAATGTCGCGCATGGATTCCTTTATATTGACACAACTCTTGGGTTTAAAGTTGTGCAAATATGACTCACAGGCTGGATTTAATAGATTTGTCTCTTTGGAAGGAATTGAAGCCCAAAATTTGGACATCAAATATACGATAAGAATATACTTGCGCAGAAAACTGTTGGGTGTGGTTCAAATAAGCACACAGTGCAGGTCGCAGTGACCATCGGTGTTTGCAGAAGCAGGGGGCCAATGTCTAAAACCAATTTCTCTGCAACACGGGCCAAGTTTTGAATTTTTTACCTGCATATTCTTTTTTTAATCAGTTTAACAGACTAGGCCTTGAAAATTTACCATCTACTGTAATTAAGCAATGTCAGTATATTAAGCAACCGGGGGGTGGGGGCGGAGCCCAGAAAGGCTAATAGGAATTAATTGGCTGGTAAAAATATAACAGTGAGCGTATCATGCGAAGTAATGTTGTATCGTTTTGTGACACGGTTTGGATTCTTGGATTATTGCATGTGGGGTTTGGGTTGGTGTGCTCACTGTCTGTGGTGGACATACAGACAGATTTTTGTTCTTGTATCAAGGGCTTTTGAATCAAGAAGAGATGAAGGAGGCCGAGTTCTGCTCCTTGCAACAACAACAAAACCTAGGAGATTGCTTTAGTTCCTTTGAGAGCTGAGATGTATTGCTTTGCCTTCAAGAATGAGGCTGGCGATCCTGCCAGGAAGCTGGCTTTCTTGCTTTTGTTGTTGTATAGTCGTTTAGTCGTGTCCGACTCTTCGTGACCCCATGGACCAGAAAGCACGCCAGGCACTCCTGTCTTCCACTGCCTCCCGCAGTTTGGTCAAACTCATGCTGGTAGCTTCGAGAACACTGTCCAACCATCTCGTCCTCTGCCGTCCCCTTCTCCTTGTGCCCTCCATCTTTCCCAACATCAGGGCTTTTCCAGGGAGTCTTCTCTTCTCATGAGGTAGCCAAAGTATTGGAGCCTCAGCTTCAGGATCTGTCCTTCCAGTGAGCACTCAGGGCTGATTTCCTTAAGAATGGATAGGTTGGATCTTCTTGCAGTCCACGGGACTCTCAAGAGTCTCCTCCAGCACCATAATTCAAAAGGCTCCATTCTTCGGCGATCAGCCTTCTTTATCGTCCAGCTCTCACTTCCATACATCACTACTGGGAGAACCATAGCTTTAGCTATACGGACCTTTGTTGGCAAGGTGATGTCTCTGCTTTTTAAGATGCTGTCAGTACTTTTCTCCCAAGAAGCAGGCATCTTTTAATTTTGTGACTGCTGTCACCATCTGCAGTGATCATGGAGCCCAAGAAAGTAAAATCTCTCACTGCCTCCATTTCTTCCCCTTCTATTTGCCAGGAGATGATGGGACCAGTGGCCATGATCTTAGTTTTTTTTTATGTTGAGCTTCAGACCATATTTTGCGCCCTCCTTTTTCACCCTCATTAAAAGGTTCTTTAATTCCTCCTCACTTTCTGCCATCAAGGTGGCTGTTATGTACTGAAGTTCTCACCCTGGGCCAGCAGGGGGATACTGTAGATAGTTCAGGTCCACATATGCAAATAAGGGATTGAAAGTGACATTCAGTGATTGGATAGTTACAGAAAGTGGTTACTGTTGTGTTGTAGTGGAGCTCTATATAAGCAGGCTGGCTGAACCCTTCAGTTCAGTTCTGTTCTGGCCTGTGAATAAACAAGAGCTGTTTGAAGAATCACTGTGTCGTCTGATATGTTCACCCACAACTTAACAGTTGTGTCATCTGCATATCTGAGGTTGTTGATATTTCTTCTGGCAATCTTAATTCCGCTTTGGGATTCATCCAGCCCAGCCTTGCTTAGGGAGTCAAATAGATGTGAATCATAGAATTGTAGAGCTGGAAGGGGCCATGAACGGGAGTGCCAACTTGGCCACAACCGTGTCTGCCCGGGGCCATGGGTGCCATGCAGCTTGCATGTCCCTGACACCGAAATTTGTGGGTGCCCGGCCCCTTCGTGGGGAATTTTGTGGGTGCTTGGGCACCCAGCGCCCCAGGGAGTTGGCACCTGTGTCCATGAGAGTCATCTAGTCGAACCTCCTTCAATGCAGGAATCTTTTGCCCAAAATGGGATTTGAACCCATGACCCTGAGATTAAGAGCCTTGAAAGGGCTACAATTTCACAGACTGGAAATGGGTGTCTTCTGCAGATCAATCAGTCCCCAAATGCCTGGGAGAACAAAAAATGCATTTGCCTGGCACTGAAAAGCTATCTATATTGGTGAGCTTTTCTTAGGAGAGCATTCCACAAGCCAGGGTAGGGTTGCCATATTTCAAAAAGTGAAAATCTGGAGACAAAACTTGTTGAGTTGTTTTTTTTTGGGGGGGGGCGCACGTGAAGTTTTGAAATCTGCCAGAACCTACACTTCTGACATGGGTTGCCATATGTCCAGATTTTCCTGGACATTTCAGCAATTTCTGCACGGACACTGTTTATAATAATAATAATAAAATTATTTATACCCCACCCTCCGCAGCCAAGGCCGGGTTCAGGGTGGCTAAAAACCAATAATAAAAATGAGTTAAATGAATATAACTTAAAAACAAGATTAAAATACAACATTAAAACATTAAAACAATTAAAATGCAGCCTCATCACAGGAGGAGAAAGGAAAAAGAAAGACGGAGAAGGAATCAAACTGATTCTAAGCCAAAGGCCAGGTGGAACAACTCTGTCTTACAGGCCCTGCGGAAAGAAATCAGATCCTGCAGGGCCCTGGTCTCATGAGGCAGAGCGTTCCACCAGGCCGGAGCCAGTGTTGAGAAGGCCCTGGCTCTGGTTGAGGCTAATCTAACTTCCTTAGGGCCCGGGACCTCTAGGGTGTTGCTATTTATGGACCTTGCGGCTCTCCGTGGGGCATACCGGGAAATGCGGTCCTGTAGGTACGAGGGTCCTAGGCCGTGAAGGGCTTTAAAGGTCAAAACCAGCACCTTAAATCTGACCTTGTACTCCACCGGGAGCCAGTGCAGCTGGAAAAGCACTGGGTGAATATGCTCCCATGGCAGAGACCCCGTGAAGGCCAAATCCTGGTTATGTCTGGAAAATTCCAGACATATGGCAGCACTAATAGGGCTACCTCTGAAAAGGCCCGTTCTCTGAAAATCCACCCTCTGGACTTCTCTAGGAGCAGGTGCATGGAGGAAGGCCTCCAATGATGATCTCGGGGTGCAGGCAGTCTCACTGTCTGGGTGCAGGATTGTGCCACTGCAGCCTGGAGGTGGTATGTGTCTGTGTGCATGTTTCTATAGGTTTGTGCTGTCCTTTTTTCCTGGGGGGGGGGACACACAGGGGTACGCATACCCCTAAACATTTGGTGAATCTTTGTACTTTTGTCCATTTACAGTGGTACCTCTGGTTGCAGATGGGATCTGTTCCGGAGCTCCGGTCAGATCCCGAGGTTTTCGCAACCTGTTCTGCGCATGTGTGCGGTGCGGTAGAGTGCTTCTGTGCATGCGCACGGTGAAACCCGGAAAAATACTTCCAGGTTTGCTGCATGTGTATCCTGAAGGATATGTAACCAGAGGTGCACATAAGTAGAGGTACCACTGTACTGTATTTATTTTTCCGGATTTGAACTATAAAATTGTGATTTTCTTGAGTCAAAACGACAGTACCCCTAAACATTTTTTTTAAGAAAAAAAAGCACTGGGTTTGTGTATTATAAAGTTATAAAGACTCCCTGTATATAGCAAAGTAGCAGAACAGGAAGAGAGATAAACAAAGCCTCTATTTTGGATGTGCAAGTTATTACATCCTGGTGTTTTTTGCTTTTTGTATGGGAGACATCAAAAAATATGGCATCTCCCCACATGAATGATATGACCTTATTCTGCGTATTATGTCATACCCTGCAACATTTCTCTGTTGAAACTAGGGATAGCCCATTCCATAAAGATAATTTTACTATTTAAACCACACACCTTTTACTGGGTTGCCCCAGCCACTCTGGGCAGCTTCCGACATACATATAAATATAATATATTTTTATGGACCGGCCTCAGTCCAGTATATCTGAAGGAGCGTCTCCACCCCCATTGTTCTGCCCGGACACTGAGGTCCAGCACCGAGGGCCTTCTGGCGGTTCCCTCACTGCGAGAAGCCAAGTTACAGGGAACCAGGCAGAGGGCCTTCTCGGTAGTGGCACCCGCCCTGTGGAACACCCTCCCACCAGATGTCAAAGAGAAGAACAGCTACCGGACTTTTAGAAAACATCTGAAGGCAGCACTGTTTAGGGAAGCTTTTCATGTTTGGTGCATTACTGTATTTTAATTTTTTGTTGGAAGCTGCCCAGAGTGGCTGGAGAAGCCCAGCCAGATGGGCGGGGTATAAATAATAAATTATTATTATTATTATTATTATTATTATTATTATTATTATTATAACATTAAACATTAAAGAAAAGCTCCCCTATACGGGATTGCCTTCATGGTCGGATAACGCCATACCCTCCAACATTTATCCAATGAAAATAGGGACATCCTAAGGAAAAGCGGGACATTTCAGGATCAAATCAGAAACTGGGACGGCTTTTCTCAGGGCCGTCCCTGGAAAATAGGGACACTGGGAGGGACTGCTATATAGATCTGAGCTAGAGTGACCTGGAGTGATCTCTCTTGCTCTCTTTCTCTTTCTTTCTCTCTCTCCAGACAGTGCTCCTGCAGTATCAGAGCTTCAGACTGCACAGCATATTCTATGTTTGCTCTTTGGTTTATTAACGCTAATTGAGGCTTCACAAATTTGCATGCTGAAATTATCTTGGCTTCGCTAGGTATTTGTTGAATGGATTTCAATGCAACAATCAGAGGTTTCCTTGAATAGATGTTGTTACAAGGCTCTAGCACCTATGATTGCTATGATTAAAGGAGAGTTAAGAAGAAAAAGAGCTCATTTCTCCATTCAGTGCTGTTGCAGTTTGTTTACTTTCTCAAGGCTTTCTTCAGCTGCTTTTCTGAGCAGCTATATCTGATGATGTACAGTGGTAAAAGTAAGCAACTATCTTCATGTATGGAGCGCCTGCACAAGCTGTTGCTGAAATATTGCCACTATAAAAGCTTTAAAATAAATAGATCGATAGATAGATAGATAGTTTCTGTAAAGGGAAATGATGCTGGATCTCAGGCCTACATAGGGCCCAGCATCATTTCCCATTTCGGAAGCTAAATCTTGCCCCATTGTAGCATTTCAAATAAATAACCATTTATCATTGATAGTTTGGGCATAACAGAAGGAGAACCCAGCTGGATCAAAGCTAATGGCCCATCTAGTCCAGCACCCCTTTCTTACAGTGGATAGCCAGGTACATGTGGGAAGTCTGAAAGGGGTGTTTTATTTGATTCCTTTACTTTTGAAGCCTTCACATATTGAGTGGGGGGCAGAATCTGCATACAGTGGTACCTCGGGTTACAGATGTTTCAGGTTACAGACTCTGCTAACCCAGAAATAGTACCTCGGGTTAAAAACTTTACCTCAGGATGAGAAATCGCATGGCGGCAGCAGCGGGAAGCCCCATTTAGCTAAAGTGGTGCCTCAGGTTAAAAACAGTTTCAGGTTAAGAACGGACCTCCGGCACGAATTAACTTCTTAACCCGCAGTACCATTGTAGTTTTAAAGTCTTTGATCCAGGGCTGGCCCACTCAGGTGGCAAGGGAAGGAATCTGCCTCAGGCGGCAGGATCCACAGGGGCAGAAGATGCAGCCTCCAAGCAGGGCTGGATTTAGGTTTGATGAGGCCCTAAGCTACTGAAGGTAATGGGGCCCTTTATATGTTCAGCAGTCCTTTGTCAACAACAAATTGTCGCTTTTTTGTGTTGAATATATGCTATATGGTAATTTATGGACCTAATAGGTATCTAAAGCCATTTGCACATAATAAATAGGAGCCTACATAACACAAAATACTGTTGCTGTACAGTGGTACCTCAGGTTAAGTACTAATTCGTTCCGGAGGTCCGTTCTTAACCTGAAACTGTTCTTAACCTGAAGCACCACTTTAGCTAATGGGGCCTCCTGCTGCCGCCGCGCCGCCAGAGCCCAATTTCTATTCTTATCCTGAAGCAAAGTTCTTAACCTGAAGCACTATTTCTGGGTTAGTGGAGTCTGTAACCTGAAGCGTATGTAACCTGAAGCGTATGTAACCTGAAGCGTATGTAACCTGAGGTACCACTGTATGTAGGTTTTATTTTAGTTTTTTTATCTTATATTTTGGTAATGTACATCCATTTTTTTCCCTTTTAATTTTTTTGGGGGCCCCCAAGAGAGTGGGGCCCCAAGCTATAGCTTGTTTAGCTTAAATGTAAATCTGGCAATGCCTCCAAGGAATGTATCGCCTGCTGCAGCTGCAACTGCAACAGCTATGGCGTCTCCCCGGCTGCACTCCCCATTGCTTCCTCTACATCAGTCTCTTGGCAAATAGGAGGCACCGCTAATCTCCTCCCACCCTGGTTCCTGATGTATATCTTTATTCCCTCCTTGTTCCTGACGTAGATCTTCACACACCCCTTCTTCCCTGGTGGTGAGGGACGCCATTTTGCCGTTTGCCTCAGGCGCCAAATATCTTGGCCCGGCCCTGCTTTCACCAGTCTCCTAATAAGAAACACATTTTCTGTTCCCTTGTGTTTTTGTGTTGTTTTGTTTCGAAACTGGGCAACATATCGCTACCGATATGAAAAGCCTTAATACATCTTTTCTCCAGGATTTCCCCCTCAACCATCAATTTACTGTTTGTTTGTTTGTTTGTTCGTGCATTTCTCCTTTGGCTTGGTTAGTTTAATCTTTTATCTGTGTACCTATTTGACCGTGGCATCTGAATCAGTCGTTGTACTTGATTGGAGAAATAATTGGCAAATTGTTCAGTGGGAGCGGGAACAAAATAAAGATCGTTCAAACACAGAGCAGCTCAGCAAAAGCAGCTAGAAGACTAAATTTGGACATATTGGTGGTGGGGTCATTTTTATAACTTCAGACATCCAAACTGTACTTCGGTTGTTTTTAATTTGTGAAAGCAGAAAGGTACTCACTGAATTTTGTTGTTGTTGTTGTTTAGTCGTGTCCTACTCTTCGTGACTCACTGAATAAGAGTTGTAAATATATTTATAGTTCACACTACATTCTACAAACGCCTGCTTTTAAGAATTGTGTTTCCTAAGGACAAATTATTTCTAGTGATGATTGGAAATATTCCTCTTCTTCTTTTAAATACACACGCATACACACTCCTTTAATTGTGCTGAGGGCTGCAAATATAAATTAGTTACATGTACCAGGTCAAACCTTTTGGCAGACTTAAAAGGTGTTCAGAATAATTTGTGTTATTATTCTATGCAAATGTTTAGAATACCTGCAGGTAGCAACCACCTGGTACCATCATTACACGTCGTTAGGTGGCGGGCAAAAACCTTCCTCTTTACCCAGGCCTTCAGTCATTAATCTATGGCCTTTTAAAAATGGGGAAATGTTATTCTGACCTCCCCCCCCCCCCCCGGTTGCTTTAATAAATCAGCACTGGTGAAATGTTTGGTAGTTCAGATGATGAACCACCACTCTAAATCTCAGAGGCTCCCAAATAGGTTGACAGGAGCAAGTGAGGATCTGAGTAGTCACATTGCTGTCAGCCTTGCAAGATGGCTCAGGCAGAGCCTCAGTACACAACCTTGTGTTTTCAGGGACTGCTTGTGCCTTTGACAATGGTACATTCTTCGAAATCGGAACAAAATGCTCCGTGCAGGATCTACAGGGGGGAATGCAACCTTGCCATCTCTGTCAGATGAGTGCCTAGATTAAGCTAAAATGCTTCTTAGGATAAAGTTTATCCTAATGTTTTTCCAAAATCTGCTCACCTGATATTTCCACCTGCTGGTCTGAGTCCAGCCCTCTAGAGCAGCAGAGATATTTCCTTAGAATTCAGAAACTGGTAATCTAAGGATTTGTCTTGAAGTCATTTGACCCAGGCAGGTCCTAAAGACTCAGGGATTGTTGATGGAGTTGGGTATGTTCAGCCAGGGGAAGAGAAGATTTAGAGGCCAGAGGTAATACAATAGTGTCACATTATTTCAAGAAGTAAAAATCAGGACACAAGTAAAGTTGTTGACCTTTTTTTTTTTGTAAAAGCAAGTTGCTTTTAGGAAAGTTTGCTTTTGGGGGGGCAAGTTTCAAAAGCCCAGACATTTCCCAAAATTCCCCCTACAATATGATGCTCTAGATGGCAGAACACAAAATAATGGATTAAAATTTCAAGAAAGGAGATTCTGACTAAATGTTAGGAAGAACGTTCTGACAGAGAGAGCTGTTCGGCAGTGGAGCAGACTCCCTTGGGAGGTTGTGGACTCTCCTTCCTTGGAGGTTTTTAAGCAGAGGTTGGATGTTTACATGTCATAGATGCTTTAGCTGTGATTCCTGCATTTCAGGGGGTTGGACTAAATGACCCCTGGATTCCCTTCCAACTCTATAAAAATCTGTTATTCTAAATTTATCTTAGATGTTCTAGTGAATAACGTTATTTCAAGTTGTTCCTTGTTCTTCTAGTCTATCTGTGGACCAAGAATCATAGTAGGTTAACGTTGCCGGGTCCTCTTGTACAACAAAGCTCTGGTTCTTCCTCTGGCTTAAGGACTGCGATGACTAATTTTTCTGTAATCAATGTTTCTGAGATTCTGTGCCTGCAAAGCAATTCCTCTGGCAGTGAGGGTCAAAGTTATTATGAGAGCATTGTGAGTGCTTTCATTGGGTCAAAGAGAACAAAGTCTAAATTTAGCCCTGTGTATTTGTTGTGGGTCAGTTGAATGTGCTGTTTTGGTCTTTCCCCTAGAAATTAATGGAAAATATATGTAGGAAGAAGATAAACAGCCAAAGATATCTGCAGGCTTAAAAACATTTTGTGATGCTATATCCCCAGCAATTAAGTTTTAAAAATAAATCAAGCAAGCAAGCAAGCAGAGAACAACCCAAGGTTCAGAGCACAAGATGGGCAGTCTGTAACCCTCCAAGTTATCATTGAACTCAAACTCCCATCATCCCCAGTCAACATGGCTAATGGTCAAGCAAAAATATCTGAAGGGTGACAGGTTCCCCATCCCTGATCTAGATAGTGGCGAATCCATCCAAGAAAAGTGGAATAATCTGTTGTTATCATACATGATCAGGTCATGTGTCTCTGTAGACATCTTGGACAGGATCCAACCAATGAGTTCCATCAGCAGAAGTTCATGCAAGGACTTCTGCTTGCGCAATGGAGGTTGCCCTCCTTTCCACCTGTTTCAGCACCAGAGTCATGCAGCAAGAGAGAAGACCAAATAAATATAATTCTTAATGTTTCTGTTTTCCAGATTGAATATTTGAGGATGACTGCTTGAAGAGGAGGCACTTGGCTCCAGCATGTCCCTCTGTGCATCATCTCACAAGGAGTTGCCACCAATCCAAGATCTCGTATGTACCAAAGCAGAAGTGAAAAGCTCCCTCTCCGAGCTGGTCTCTCCTGTCCCTTTCAGCTGCAGCCAGTCTGCTTTGAGCGTTGAGCACAGCCCAATTTACATCCCATCCTCTTATATGGAAAACAGGCATGAGTATCCGGCCATGACATTCTACACCCCCGCTATGATGAACTACAGCATTCCAAGCACTTTCGGCGACTCGGAAAGTGCCTCTCTCAGACAGTCGGCCAGCCCGAGCATGTTATGGTCTGGTTCTGACCACATCTCTCCTTTGACTTTACACTGCCAGTCATCCGTTTTATTTGCAGAGCAACCAAAAAGCCCGTGGTGTGAAGCAAGACCCGGGGATCATGCCCTTCCTATGCACAGGTAACAAATGCTTATCTATCTGTCTTTCATCAGTTCCAACAGTGTTGTTTCTCCAAAGCATAGGCTTTGGGGGGAGATTGCTGTAGTGTGAACAACTACAGTGTGAACAACTACAAGCAGCCAGTGTGGTGTAGTGGTTAGGAGTGGTAGACTCATAATCTGGGAAACCGGGTTCGATTCCCCGCTCCTCCACCTGCAGCTGCTGGGTGACCTTGGGCTAGTCACACTTCTCTGAAGTCTCTCAGCCCCACTCACCTCACAGAGTGTTTGTTGTGGGGGAGGAAGGGAAAGGAGAATGTTGGCTGCTTTGAGACTCCTTAAGGGGAGTGAAAGGCGGGATATCAAATCCAAACTCTTCTTCTTCTTCTTTGGAACTCCCTGCTGATTGACACCAGACAGGTATTTTTCACAGTACTCTTTTTGGAGCCTGCCAAAAATGTTTTTCTTTAGGCAAGTCTACCCAGATAATTATTCATATTTGAATATTTTACACAGTTGTTTTTAACTGTTTCAGTTTCTGGTAATTCCATTAGTTTATTCTTTTTGTAAACCACTGTTTGTTTGCTTTTTCTCTCCCAAAAACAGTAACAACAAACAAAGGGTATATACGTTATATGTGGCTTTCTTGCTATCATGTCAAGTCGGGCTCGTGACAAGAGAATGGCTTATTGGAGCAGAGATTTTGGCCGAACTCCTTCCTCCCTTCTTTTCTGAGAATTGGTTTTAAAGAGGCATTTCTTGTCTTCAGAATGATCTGCCTTTGCAGACACCCCCTCTTTTGCAGTTGTGCTTCTCCTCCCCTTCGTTTTTTTGTGGCGGTGTCTTAATGGTGTGTTCATGCCATTAATTTATTGCCATGGAAACAATGATTGTGGTATTGAGCAATCCTGAATTATAACTTAAATGAAAGTTCAAAGATGGGAAGAGTATGAACTCCACAGAACCAATCCCTCCCCCTTTCCTTGATTAAATGAGCATAGGCCATTATTATTATTATTTTAATGAAAGGGTTTTGTTTTTAAATACGATGTACCAAACTTTGCTTGAGTTAGAAGGGAACCTCTTTGAAGCCCTGAGGCAGTTGACACAATTCAGAGCCCCACACGTGCAGTGAAGCATGCATGGAGCATCTATGCTTGCTGAGCTCCCTCATTCATTCCAGTGGAGGAGAGTCTTTCACAGAGGCCCATCTCTTTGGATTTGTTGAGCAACGCCAGCTATTGTAGGGTTGCCATATTTCAAAAAGTAAAAACCAGGACACCCTGAAAGTTGTTGAGCTCCAATTTTATTTTTTCACAAAAACACCAAAAAAAACCAACCCCCGTGATTTTTCGATTGGCTTGACTAACGTCCAAGACAAAGCGCCGCCTTTCGGAAATTCACCCCAGATGTCAATTCCGCCTTTGAAATCCCAGTAATGTCCGGGAAAATCAGGATGTATAGCAACCCTAAGCTATTGAAGAAATGTTAGCAAGCCCCCCGCTCTTCTCCCTTCCCCTCCCCAACACAAAAATCAAACGTAAAAGTTTTTCATTGAAAACTGTCAGTCTGGCTCAGCTGAAGTAAAAAAAAAAATCATTATTTTTACACATCCTCAGGTAAGCAGAAAGGGAAGTGACTAGGGCATGCATAGGCAAACTAAGGCCCAGGGGCCACATCCGGCCCAATCGCCTTCTAAAACCGGCCCACGGATGGTCCAGGAATCAGCATGTTTTTTACATGAGTAGAATGTGTGCTTTTATTTAAAATGCATCTCTGGGTTATTTGTGGGGCATAGGAATTCATTCATTCCCCCCCCCAAATATAGTCTGGCCCCCCACAAGGTCTGAGGGACAGTGGACCGGCCCCCCGCTGAAAAAGTTTGCTGACCCCTGGACTAGGGCCTTGGAATAAGGAGCAAACGGTGGGAATATATAGGCTATGGACTTCAAACATATTTTTAGTGTGTGCTAATTTAATATAATTTTTAGGAACAATGACTCTGGGCAGCTTCCAGCATATACAAAAATGTAACAAAACATTAAACGTTAAAAAACTTCCCTATACAAGGGGTCCTTCCTGCAGCATTGTAAAGGCAGCCAGATTTATGGAGGCACAAAGCAAAAAACTGCCAGAGGTTTTGAGGTAGAAAAAATAAAATCACCCAGTAGTTTTGAGGACTGCCACAAAAAGTTATGAGGTAAAGATGTACATGCCACTTCACTGTTTCCTAACGGCTCTTCTCCTGTTCCCCCAGAGAAACGCTGAAAAGAAAAGCCAACAGCAACGACTGTACCAGCCCCTCCACAAACAGCCCCGTCTCGAAAAGGGATGCCCATTTCTGTGCCGTGTGCAGCGATTATGCCTCAGGATATCACTATGGCGTTTGGTCGTGTGAGGGCTGCAAAGCGTTCTTCAAAAGAAGCATTCAAGGTAAGGGGAATGGCAGGCTTTCCCGGGGAAAGGAAATTCTTTGAGGATGCAAATGTTTCTGCGAAAATGTGTGAGTGTGTTACTGCTTTCACAGGTAAAAATTGCCCCGCAGATAAAAATGCTTGAACACATGGAACTTGCATATATGACGGAAAAGATCGGAGATTGTTCAACCCAAAAGTTCAAGAGGGAATGGGGAATTTATAGACAATATTTTTAGATGAACAGTGCCCTCAAATAAAAACTTTAGAATTGAATAATTCTCGGAATTGATTAAGGTGTAAAGAATACAAACAAGATTTAATAAGGATAAGGTTTATTGGAAAATAGAGGCAAGTAATTAAGAAAACAAAGAACCCATATCAAGGAAGTCGGAAGCTGATGGAATATTCTTGTGAATGGATTGTTCTGGTGATGGATTGTTCTATTGTTTTTTTGTTTGTAAGAGATGTATTGTGCTTCTTTTGTTTCATTTTCTTTTCTTTTTTCAAGCTTTTGTTGTTTGTGTATGTGTTGATTTTAAACCATTAAAGATTTTTTTTTGAAAAAAAATATCCCTCTCTCCAGCTACTTTCTTACCATTGGTGGGAGTGGGGAAGATCCATAGTCCCCAGTTTGGAAGGAGGGAGAGATGGAAAGCTGAACACCACCCACAATGAACAAACATTAATTTCTTGGGGGAGAGAATGACTTTTGAACTCCAGTTCACACTGAATGCTGCTGGTCGGGCTCCGAGTGGTTTACAACAGCCCTGCAGTGTTGTCCAGCATCATTAAGCGCCTGTTGCAGGTTGAAGAGTCTGAAGGAAAGAGAGTTCAGTGACCACCCTCCCAGTGGTGTGATCCATTGCTTTTCTCTTGACGCTGGAGCTTGGGCCTTGTCAGAGGAATCTATGCATAGGATTGCATCCTGTGCCCCATTCCTGCTCTTGAATTAGCCTGAAATCCATGTTTGCTCAGAGGAAAATTTCATTCTCCTTGAATGGTTACTCCCCAATAACTGGTCAGTTTTAGTGCAGGTCTTATTACAGGAGCTTAATGTTATTCAGGGAAAGCAAAACATGTGCATGTCATATGTTCTGTTCACTTCTGCTTTATAGAACAGGACAAAATAACCTTTTGAAGGCCGTGACATATGCTGAGAAACTTGGTGGCCCAACATTTTAATCTTGCTTCCAGCAGACCTTTGACTGCAAACAACCTTCGCTGCCAACCACAGGCTTCACATCTGCTCTCTGAAGGCTTATCAAAAACCACCCAGCAGTCCTGCAAAACTGATTTTTCAGGTCACGTTAAACTAAATTTTCTTAGTATCTGTGTCAAAGAGCAAACAAGCTTCTCCACCCTGAAATATCTAAGCTGAAAAATTTCATAAAGCTTTTGTGAAGGCTTATTGAAATTCAGCACAAAATGTTTGCAATAATTTTATGTTCCAGGACAGCTTCCCACTTGAGGCTTATATATTTGCAAGGGACGGAGGAGAATGAAACAGAATTTGCCTTTTCTTTCCCTGAAAGCTAGCCTTGCTGATAACCCACAGACATTACTAGCCTGCAGATATTTTTATTAGCTGGGAGCAGAGCTGGGAGAGCTGGCAGAGGAGTGAGTGAGATTTCTGCCCTTCCTGAAACATGCCAAAAAACCCAAAGTGCTGCACTAGCAAGCACAAAACAACCCCTCTGCTATGCCACAAATCCAACTCAATGGTGTAACATTGGAAAGTGTCAATTACTTCTCCTACCTGGGCAGTTACCTTTCTACAAGGGCCAACATTGATACCAAAATCCAGCATTGCCTGAGCTTGGCAAGTGCAGCTTTCTCCCAACTGAAGTGCAGAGTATTTGAGAACCAGGACATTCACAGGGAAACCAAAATGCTTGTTTACAAAGCTATTGTACTACCAACCTTACTGTACGCTTGTGAAACATGGACCACTTATAAACGCCATCTCCAGCTCCTTGAAAGATTCCATCAATGGCGTCTCCGAAAAATTTTAAGTATCACTTGGGAAGACAGGTGAACAAATGCCAGTGTACTGGAAGAAGCAAAGATCACCAGTGTTGAAGCAATGATTCTTCAACATCAACTTTGTTGGACTGATCATGTTGTTTAGATGCCTGATTATCGTCTTCCAAACAACTACTCTATTCCGAACTTAAAAATGGAAAGCGTAATGCTGGTGGTCAACAAAAGAGGTTGAAAAACTCACTCAAGGCAAATCTTTAAAAATGTAGTATAAACACCAACAATTGGAAAACACTGGCCTGCGAGTGCTCCAATTGGAGAATAGCCTTTTCCAAAGGTGTCATTGACTTTGAAGACACTTGAACTCAGGACGCAAGGGAGAAACGTGCTAATAGGGAGGCACATTTGGCAAATCCTCACCATGATCAGTTCTTGCTGGAAACCTATGTCCCCACAGTATAAGGACGTGTTGATCCAGAATTGGCCTCCAAAGTCACCTATGGGTTCACTGTTAAGACTGTGTTCATGGAAGACAATCTTACTCAGCTACGAATGATTGCCAAAGAAGAGAAGAATTGCATTTCTGTGCTGGACGAGGGGACAACCCACTTGGTTTCTGTGCTGGGTGCAGTGGAAGGACTTGACTGCATGCAATTCCTTCTCACTTCTGGCTACCAGGTGCATGCTTCATGAAAGCCGACTATAAACCTACATGCATACAGCCTCTCTAAAGGTGAAGGTGAAAGAAAAGGAAAGGGAGAAGCTTAGCCAGGCAGCTGGTAGGCCTTCCAAGGCTTGTGCGTGTTCCCTGTTGCTATGATGCTGTTTGTCAAATCAAGGATGCCTGACTGCTCAGGGCCACATACCAAGTGCTTAGTGCAGTGAGATCAGCATGCAGAAGCCGAGGCTTCGTTTGGCAGCCTTCCACGTGGCAGCTGTGTTGAAAGACAATCCTGGGGTCCTCCGAGGGCAAGCCAAGCTCGCCACTGTCGCCCCATGATACAGAAAAATTTAGGAATTGCCAGCTCACTGTGTGAAATGCCTTGTGTCCCAAATAGGGATGGGAGGATCTGCCAGTTTTGATTCTCACATTTTCCTATCTTAAATTCAGTTCTTCACCGTCTGCATCAATTTGAGAATTTCCTTTAAAAAGGGGGGGAAATCCTCCTCCCCCAAACCAGCACATTTTTATACGCAATTTTGACCAATGTGCACACATCAGATACAATGCCTTTTTGTATGTTGCTATCCCTATTCTATTCATTTTTATGCAACCTTGCCTCTTAGCGCAGGCATTTCGATAATGGTTGGTTGGAGAACCATATTACAAAATGCGGATAAGGGTGGATTTTGAATGATAGCCATGTTCCCGTTTACATATTGTTTCAAAAAGTGTGAATTTGATAGATTTGCTTTCATGGACTGGCTGGATGCAGAGGGAGTGGTGGGAGGCACCAGCTGGGGAACCCTCAAGAGAACCCCCAGGGGAAGAAGCCAGGGGGCTGCTGGGAGGCAACAACAAGGTCGTCAGAGGAAGAAGAGGGAGCAGACTGGGAGGAGGAAGAGGTGTCGGAGGTTGAAGAGGCAACAGGGCTTAGTGAGCAGAGAGAGGCTGTGACAGAGAGCAGTCCAGAATCAGAGGCAGAATCAGAGGCTGGAGAGGAGGGAGGTCAGGAGACAGAGGCGAGGCAGGCTGCTGAAGAATCTGAATCCGAATTATTTTTCCTTAGCTCTAATTATTCACCTCAGATAGAGGAAGGGGGAGAGAAGCACTAATTACAGAGGAGCCTCTGCCTGGAGATGCTACTCCATTGCCATCTTAGAATCCTGATAGTTATTAAATTAGCCCCATCCTTTTTCCGCTGAAGAATCCAGGGAGTCTCCTCTTCCTGCTGCGACCAGCTCACCTCCTCCTTGGTCTCCCAGAACCCAGAGAGGCATGAAGAGGCCAGAGCCTATCAGGCAAGACGAAGGAGCCTCAAGTTGCTTGGGAAGGACCCAGGAGTGGAGGAAGCTTAGGCAACTATAGGAAGACAAAGAGCTTCTGTCTCGGCCTCATAGGGGCAAGACCTACTGAAGAAGCTGCTGTGCTCACTAGCTGCCTTGTTTCTTTGTATAAAGAGTTAAATTCACTGACACCTAGAGAGCCAGTGTGGTGTAGTGGTTAAGAGCGGTAGTCTCCTTATCTGGGGAACCGGGTTTGCGTCTCCGCTCCTCCACCTGCAGCTGCTGGGTGACCTTGGGCCAGTCACACTTCTTTGAAGTCTCTCAGCCCCACTCACCTCACAGAGTGTTTGTTGTGGGGGAGGAAGGGAAAGGAGAATGTTAGCCGCTTTGAGACTCCTGAAGGGGAGTGAAAGGCGGGATATCAAATCCAAACTCTTCTTCTTCTTCTACCTTGTGAGTTATTGCTGACCTGTTCCTGACACCCGCCCTGACAATTTGGCTCTAAATGTGAACTGAATCAAATTTCTTCCCTATCCTTAGTCGCAAATCACATAAACCTAGGAGTCTGCCTTATCCCAAGTCAGTCCATCTAGCTCAGTATATTCTACACAGACTGGCAGCAGCTCTTCACAGTTTCAGGCATGAGTTCAGTACTACTTGGAGCTGTCGGGGATTTGAACCTGGAACCTACTACATGCCAGGCAAATGCTTAACCTCTGGACCAATCACCACAGGTGTAATCACAGTCCTCAGCAGTGATTTCCTTCTTCTTCAGATGTTCCCCCTTTTATCTCTCCTTGCAGGACACAACGATTACATTTGCCCTGCGACAAATCAGTGCACAATAGATAAAAACAGACGCAAAAGCTGCCAAGCCTGCCGACTTCGGAAATGCTATGAAGTCGGGATGATGAAATGTGGTGAGTTTTGCATTCCCTTGGGTCTGTCCTGTCGCATTTCTCAGTTACAGATCTTTACTCGCATTCTAGAGGAGTCGTGGGCTCTCATCCTGACCACAGTTATGCATGTGCAAATTCTATTACAGTGGTACCTTGGTTTGCAACCGTTTTGGATTACAACCATGTCAAACCCGGAAGTGCGTGTCCCTTTTTTTGGATTACAACCCCCCCCCCTTTTTTGGGGGAGGCCCCATTGGTGAAAGCGCGCCTTGGGTTACAACCTGTTTTGGTTTACAACTGGACCTCCGGAACGGATTATGGTTGTAAACCAAGGTACCACTGTAATGCCAATGGTAGGTGGATCCAGAACTCCAGTTAGTCATTCGATCTTAGCTTAATCATCCAATATTGTTTGGGAACCCTTTGGAGGGAAATAAAACAGTACTTTTGTATTGTTTTATTGTTGTTAGCCGCCCTGAGCCCAGCTTCGGCTGGGGAGGGCGGGATATAAATAAAATTTATTATTATTATTATTATTACTAGTATTGCCTACTGGTCAGTACTACCAGAAAAAAATACTGCTGGTTTAAAGAACAACAAGAACAACAACAAAAATAATTCTGGAAGGTTATATGCAACTGGGATAGAACTGGTCTTTCCCATGGGGCTGATCCCTCTGTCTTAAGGCGTCTCCAAAATGCTGATGAAACTTCAAGGGTGCCATCATTGATATTTTTCATTCTCATGGTTCAGGCAGACTGTACTGGCTTGACTTCAGTGAGTCACCACTGAACCTGTTGTACTAAAAATCCATTTTGGGAACAGCTGACAATACCTGCTGCCTGCCTGAAGTCACATGTCCTCAGTTTGCTCCTCCCCTTCCCATTGCATTCTGCCGGATGCTCTTGACTGTGTTAGGCTGCAGGCACAGAGCCAGCATGAAGCTACAGAGATGTTGCTCTGCCTTGCCTGCTGCCCTTACTAAGCCTCTGCGATGCCTGCTGTTTCATCGACTGCCTTGGTAACGCTGAACTAATACAAACTAAAGGGGAAACACGATCTGGTTGAATGTGGACTTGATAACTGTTGATAGATTACATTGCTTTTCATGTCTGGGTTATGCCCAAGTCAGGTAATCCCTGTTGCTACACCCTAGATGCCCTATTATTTGAGATTCCTATCCAGGAGAAACATTCTAGGGGGAAACTTACAATTCATAAGGAACTGCAGTGGACACAGCAATCCAGATACACTGCCCATCTTGTCTTGTGTGTTGTCCTTTGCAGGGACAAGACACTTCCAGATTGCTATTTTTGGGTGAGCTTCAGGTTATGCAATTAAAGCACACCTTCCAACATGGTGCAAAAGAAAATCGGGATGTGCATCTTTAGAGACCATGCTCCTGTGCAAGTTGCATGAATTGTGTGAGAATGCAGCCCCCCCAAAACACAGCCTTTTGGGACTGAGCTCTTCTGGGAGCCAAAACAAGACATCCCAGGGTCTAATCCAGTGCTATTTTTCCAGAAAAGGGGTGTCAGAGCCCACCTTGTTTTCTTAGAATGGCAATGGCACTCACCTGAGAGGTGCACTCCAGTGCGCTCTGGCCTGAAAAAAAGCCCTGGTCCAATGAGAAGCCAGGTTGGCTTCTGTAATTGCAGACTGTTCTGCTCAAAGCAGGACATTGGGGTGGGGGCATGTTAAAGTGGATTTGGAGCTCTTGTGCAACAAACCCACTTCCCCCTAAAATGGACTTTTGTGATAAGGCAAGTGATGGGGATATGCACTGAAAAATAAGGGACAAGAATTTATTTATTGGTCATGTAACCACCCCACAAGCAAATGAGAGCAAGTGCTCAATACAGAGGTAGTGTGTAAGTCACCTCCCTCCCTCCCTTCTCCCCCCTTCTTCTCTCTTTCTCTTTCTTCCAAGGCCCTCAAGGCAGTTTACACTCTCCAGACACTGAAATGCAATTACAAACGAACAGGTTGCAGAAGACTTAGCACTAAAGCAGCAGACTTGTCTCTCATTTCTGATGGTCTCCATCAGAATCTGATGGCCGGAACTTCCTAGCCAGCGTTTCTCCCTTTCCACCAGGGCGCAGAGGGTCTTTAAATGAGGTCTTTTTCGCTCCCTAAGACACACTTTTTTCCTCCTAAAAAAGGGAAATGTCTGTGCGTCTTATGAAGCGCATGCTGCGCGGAGGAGGGACGTGTAAGCCGTTTCTGTCCGCTTTGCTGCTTTAAAGCGAGCGACAGAGGAGGGAAGGAAGGGGAGCCACGAGGCTCCGTTTTAAAGCAGCAAAGCAGAGAGGAGCTGTCCGCTTTGCTGCTTTACAGCAAGCGGCAGAGGAGGCACTGATGGGTGCCATGGCTCCCCTTCATTCAGAATATTTTTTTTTCGTGTTTTCCTCCTCTAAAAACTAGGTGCGTCTTATGGAGCGAAAAATACAGTAGTAAGTTTTTAGCAGGCGGTGGACCAGGTTTCACCAGCTGTACTGCCTGGGGTCATGGTGGTCTCTTCAGGAGCTGACCACATGACTTCACTGGCCTGGACTCTGCTTTTCCTTCAGCTGTCACCTGACACCGTCACAGATGGCCAGGCTCTTTAATAAAGTTGTCATCATTACCTAGCTAGAAGGATCACCAGTGCAGAGTGTACATGCCTAGGAGACATGAGGCCATTGATTGGGAATGGAGGAATGACAGCGCGGTTTGAATGATCCCCTCATGAGGTAGAATGAAAGCTGCCTTTCATCTTTCCATAAGGCAAGTGACACGATGGCACATTTAAATGTAAGGGGCACAGGTCCCTCAGGCAGCTGCAGGAGTTGCCTCAGGGCCCCAATACAGCCTGCTAGAGCTGCCTTAGCACAATGTCCTATATTCAAGTCACTCCCTGAAATCAACAATGCGCCTGGATAAATATTCTAGGATCCTGGGTTTGGTACTGCTGTGAAGTGGTGAGCAGGCCAGGCTGTGAACCAGGAGATCCCCTATCTAGACCTTGCCTCTGTTGATTTAAGCAGAGTCTGGTGCCCAGCGGAAGGATGAGGAGTACGTGCTACATACTCGATATTGCTTTATTTACAGTTCAAAGCTGGTATATTACAGAAAGACATCTTGCCTCTGCAGGAGCAGAAAATGCATCCTCTCTCCTCGACAGCTTGGAGAGAATCACACAGTGAAAAACAGGAAACCAGTGTACGTCACATCCAGCCTCCCTTTCCCGTGAGAAACTCCAACAGTACAGACTGTGGAATGTAAACACCTGTCTCGTGACAAGCAGAGCTGCACAGTGAAGGAAAGCAGAAACCAACATCCTCCCCTTTCTGTGAACATCACTGGGCAGCGTGTTCGTACAATATCAGTACAAACCCAACTTCTGCACATAGGTACAGTGTTGATCCCTCGATACAATCTTGGACAATACATCAGCAGGAATTTCATTACCTGGCATATAGGACACCGTTACGAGTCCCTTCTGAATACATTCCCTAGCATGCTGCAACTTTAATTGCAAGTGCTTTGTGCTTTGCTTACAACCTTCAGACTTCAGCAAAGCCAAACATGCTTTGTTGTCCTGGTAAACCTGGATTGGACATTTGACAGGAATTTTCATATCTTTGCACAATTGTACTAACCATTCACAATCCTTAAGTGAATAAGACAGTGCATTCAGTTCAGCTTCACAAGTACTTAAGCTAACTGTTGTTTGCTTCTTGCATGACCAATCAAAAAGACCCTGATTGTACATGTAGCAAACTCCAGACGTACTTTTCCTGTCTGCAGCGTCACTTCCAAAACTTGCATCTGCAAATATCTCAAGACCACCAGACTTCCGATTGTTAAATCTCAGTCTGTAATGCATAGTGCCTTTCAAATACCGCGCTATGCGTTTCAGAGCTTTCCAATCCTTGACACTAGGATTGTTGACTTGTCTGCTTAGCAAATTACAGCTAACAGCAATGTCTGGTCTTGAACATCTGGCAATGAAGTTTAGCTTGCCTAGCACACTCCTGTACAGTGTAGTGTCAGAAAATGCTTCTTCAGTGTCATCTACCTGATAACCTGTTGTCATCGGTGTGTCTACAGGGTTAGCATCCATCAGATTTAGTTTGCTTAATACATCAGCAATTTTCCGTGACTGGTGTACTAGAATGTTACCATCTTGATCTCTCTCTATTTCCAGAGATAGGTAGTTGTTTACCTCACCAAGATCTTTCATGTCAAAGTGCTCTTTCAGTTGAGCTAGGGCGTTATTGTACATTGCGACATCTTTCCAAAAGAATAACAAATCATCAACATAAAACAAACAGTACAGTTTCTTTTGCCCCTCCTCTTTGACAAATACACATGGATCAGCTTTCCCTTGCTGAAAACCTAGAGAAAACAATACTTCAGTGAGTTTTGTGTGCCAACACCGTGCACTTTGTTTGAGACCATAAAGGGATTTCTTCAGAGCACAAACAAATCCCTGTTTTACCTGTACGCCATCAGGTGGAAGCATATAAAGTGATTCATCTAGAGATCCGTACAGAAAAGCTGTATTAATATCATGGTGACTAATGTGTAGATTTTCCTCTGCAGCTAGCTTGAGCATAAGCCTTATGCTTTCATATCTCACTGTGGGTGAATAGGTCTCGTGATAGTCTTCACCTGGTACCTGTGCAAAACCTCTGGCTACCAATCTGGCTTTGTGTCTGACTATCTTGCCATTTTGATCTGTCTTCGCTTTGAAGACCCATTTGCTTCCAAGCAGTTTCATTCCTGGAACTACTGGAACTAGCTCCCATGTTTTGTTCCTTTCTAAGGAATCAAGCTCAGCCTTCATGGCATTTAACCATGGCTCAGCTTCCTTTGAATCCAAACCCTGGATTTCTTGGAAACTTGAAGGTTCAAATACCTTCTTGGAGCTTTTAACAGCTGTTACTGCTATCTTAGCAAACTCATCAGCAAATCTCTTTGGAGGTTTGCCTTTTGTGGCTCTCTGTGACCTACGAATTAGCCTTAAGTCTTCAACACTCTCCTCTTCCTTCTTAGGAGAAAAACGACCTATTGTGAACAATGGTTCCTCCAATTCTTGATCAGAGCTTTCAGAGGGTCGCATAGAGGCTTTCGCACTCTCGAAATCCTCTGAATCACCCGATTCAGTTTCAGATTCAGACTCAGAACCTTCATCAGTGGGTGTGGGTTGTTGTGGTTGCTTTTGACTATCCTCAGTCTCATCACCGTCATCAGGATAACATTGGAAAATTCCCACATTCTCCCCCACTTTGCATTGTACTCAACACTTCTCGTGAGCTTAATTGTCTTAGAGTCAGTCATCATTATTCTGTAAGACCCTTTCTGATAACCTAGAAAGATACCATGCAATCCACGCTTGTCTAACTTGGAGTTTTGTGGTGAGCGAACCCACATGTCAGAACCAAAAAT